CTCAACAAAGCAATAAAAACGATGGCTAATTTGATTATATCGTCTGTATTTGTAGAAAATAGTAAAAACATATTGAATGAAATGGTGCGTTGAAGCTTTTTAATGATAGTATATAAAAAGAAGACTACCTAAGATTTTTTTTTTTAGATTTTTTGATGAGTTAACAACATTATAACATGACAAAAAACTCACACTTCAATTTTGTTTAGTATTGGAGCTTTAACAAAGCAACAAAAAATCACTAGAAAACATTTGTAATACTTTAAGTCGATGCTTCTATCAGGGTGTCAATAGCAAAAGTGTTTTATGTTTTTATTTATTCATATATATTTACTCTTTTGACATTTTCACAGGCTTTTTCTTTTCTTATATTTGTTCGGTTTCAGATGACGTCACCGCATTTTATAGGCAAATAATATTTAATAAAGTTAAAATAAACAGGCAAAATGCAGGTTTTTGTTGTAATATAGCAAGTTAATAGGTTTAGTCATCAATAGTAAAGATTATATTAAAAATTTGTGAACTTTTGAGATGTTTCATGACAAATTATGATGTTATTATAAAAGGGAAATCTGTGTCTTGCTTCACATCTGAGAGTTTTATGACATTATCACATCATTGAATCTGAAAACCACCAAGTGTTGACGGTTGTTTTCTTAAGAGGCTGGTTTGAGTACAAGTGTGATATATCTAAAGCTGCACTGCGTAACTTTTACTACTTTCGACATTTTATTTATGTACAGAAGACATTAAATATATGAAGTAAGAAGAAGTAGTAAAGAAAACAGTAAAATAACTCAACAAAGCAAGAAAAACAATGGCTAATTTGAGGATTTAGTTATTATTATATCGTCTGTTTTTGTAGAAAATAGTAAAAAGTAGTAGTGTATAAAAATGAGACTAAAAATTGTTTTAAAAGCACATTGTGTAACTTTTCTGGTGGAGGGAGGGCGCGTCAAATACTTGTCTCCGTGGGGATATTATTGCTTTATTGCTCTGGAATGTTTCACCGTATGGCATTACACCTTTTTTTATCACCATGGAATGAAATCTGACCATGTTGCCTGTTTTTCTAAGTGTTTTTGAGCTATAAAACCACCTCCGATTTAATAAATGTAACATTGTGGAACATTCCAGGCAGAGACAAACAGGTGACGGACCCCCAAGCGAAAAGTTAAACAGTGCGGCTTTAGATATATCACACTTATACTCAAACCAGCCTCTTAAGAAAACACCTCCACATTCCTGCTGTCTTAGTCCACCGCATTTTTGCCTTGAAAGTAAATACAGCACGGCCCGGCTATCAGATATTACCCCACATGCCGGTGAAAAGTCTTGTTTTGTAAATGGGTCACATGACGGCAGCTGCTTCTCTGAAGGTGTTTAGCGATAAAACTAAGGATAACTCCGAGACAATCATTACACAAGACAAGCAACGCCGCGTCAAGAGAAAGAAAAGATCATATACCGTGGTTAACTTGGCTGTTTCGCTGGCCCGAGTTGGCATTTTTTGTTTTCACTGTTGACAAGCTATTGTAAATCATAATGCCGATTTACAGGAATTCATTGTCAGTCGGTTGATTTTAATTACATTTTCAGTCTTAAAAGGCCTATACCTGTTTTTTGTTTTCATGTATTGAGACTTAGACAAACTTTACGGGTCCAAAAGGGAAGTTATTTGGACACAGTAGCTCACACATCACAAAATATTACAATAACAAAGAGAAAAAAATCCTAAAAAAGTAGCAAAAGGAGAAAGAGACAGAAATTATGCCTTATTTGACACCAGTTTCTCTTTATTTCAGCAAAATTTACCTTCCCTCAGTACAGAAATATTATATAAACAGTTCTCCAGGTCATCTAATTATAAAGTTTTGTGTTTTTTGGTACAAGAATGATGAAGTGCACCGTTGGCATGCTAGTTGTTTGCATTACCGAGACTTCAAACTCCGCTCTGGCCTCTGAAAGTTGTGAAAAGTGCTTATAAACTCATTGTGGTGAATATTTAGGATGCTCAGAAAGCATAAAGTTCTTGTTTAATCTTGTTTTCATGTATTGAATAAAGCTGAATAATTATGAACTTTAAAAAAACATGCACAATATTATTAGTTTAGTTTATTTACGCTGATTATATTACACAAAAATCTAAAAAAAAACTAAAACGTAAGCCCTGATAGAATGCTGTTCCCTCATCAAAAACAGACCTGGAGTTGTGTTTTGTTTCATTCACACATGTTTGAGTAACTCTTTATTATTAGTCTGTTTACATCTCCAAAGCTCAAAATGCTCTGTTCCACCTTGTGATGTCATGAAGTGGTAGTTTTCAAGTTAACAACTACTTTGTACCTGAAATCATCCAAATTATTCTAGTGATGGTGTGTGGAGTTTAAAAACACAATGGAGTATCACAAGTTGGAACAGTGTGTTTTCGTCCAGGGGTCTCCAACCTTTTTTTTCGGTGAGTTACCTTTACAAAAAGAAAATGCCAAAGAAATCCTTGTATCATGCATTCATTTGTTTTCAAAATAAAACCAAAAATAAGAAAACCATTCCAAAACCTAAATGAAAAAACGGGTAACGAGTTTTTTCATTTTTCGATTTTGTGTTTAGATCAATAATGGAAAAAACGAATAACGGTCGTTTCCCATTTCCGTGACTTAAACTGCAGGACCAGACCAGACCTAAAATCGGGACTGAGACTGGTTTAGAGCTGGTTTAGACCTGTTTTATTCCTGGTTTAGGCCTAGTTCAGTCCGGCATCGCAGTTTAAGTCACTGAAACTGGAAACGATCATTATCAGTTTTTTCCATTATACATTTAAACACAAAATCGAAAACTGAACAAACGAATCATTATCCGTTTTGCTTTTGGAGACAAATAATGTAGAATTTTTTTTTTTTTCCGTTTTCTTATTTTTGGTTTTATTTTGAAAAAGGAATGAATGAATGATACACAGATTCAAAGAGCTACTTATTTAGCGGTCACAAGAAATTGAGGACTTGGATTTGGAACATAAACCTTTATTCATTTATTAGTGCACTAAGTTAGGCATCCAAATTATACATCTACACTGGTACTTCATCAAATTTGAGCCACTCAGCACAATATGTATAAATCAGTAATCATTTGGCAAATAATCTGCAGGGTTTGTGTGTTAAACATGTGTGAATGAAACAAAAACACAACTCCAGGTCTGTTTGTGACGTTTGTGATGTTTGTGGAAACAACATTATAACATTAAATTAACATTCAATCGGATGGTAACTTTTACATGATCAAACTTGCCAAAAAGCTGTCACCTATTAACTAGACTTTAAACATTTACTACCGGATTCCTCACTACTTCCACCTCCATTTTCAGCTACAGTATTGTCATTTCGGATTATCATGACCTCACGTGAAGCCGAAGCCTGTTCCTCATTCCATGTTGTTTTGAGTTTAGTTTTGACTCCGCCCCTTCACTCGAGCCCCGCCCCCTCGTCCTGTGCCCCGGCCGGTGGAATGCCGCGTTACCGGTTTACACAGAGAAGCATGACTGTACGATGACAGTGTGATAGACTGAGCGCTGGAGCCTCTTGTGGTTAAAAAATGGACATCACAGCATTCTATTGGCCAAAAAGGTTTAATACAAATAGGCACAGCTAAAATGTATATTGTTATAAGTCCTATATTTTGCAAAATTGACTCTTGTGAGCTTTTAGACAGGTTATAATGTTGTTACTTCATCAAAAACAGACGTGGAGTTGTGTTTTGTTTCATTCACATGTTTGAGTAATCTTTTATTATTAGTCTATTTATATTTCCAAAGCTTAAAATGCTCTGTTCCACCTTGTGATGTCATGTTGTGATAGTTTTCAAGTTCACAGCAACTTTTTACCTTTAGTTCAGTAGATTGCTAATGTGTGAATGAAACAAAACACAACACCGGATATGTTTGTGATGAGGAAACAATATTATAACCTAGAGTAGAGAACAGTGTACCATATTTTTCAGACTATAAGTTGCTCTGGAGTATAAGTCGCACCAGCAAAAAATGTGTAATGAAGAAAAAAAAATGTATATAAATCGCACCGAACTATAAGTCACACTTTGCAGGAAATTTATTTTATAAAATCAGGAACCAGGAACCAACATTTCATCTTGAAAGGCAAGTTCTAGTAAAAACAACAGAACAGGGAACAACAGACTGTTAACGTCACATATGAACAGTTCTTCAGATAATTATAACATAAACAACAGAACAAGTTTACCAAACTCTCCATCTCACTCCAAATCAATAAATCTATTGATTTCTTTATCCTCTGTGTCACTTCTGAACAACTCTGCAACCTCCGGAGGTAAACAGAGCGCCGCTTCCTCTTCTGTGTAGCTGTCGTCAGACTCAGCATCAGTTCCAGTTAGAATTATTCCAGAATTTCTGAATCCTGACAGGATGGTTTTGGTGTCACTAAAGTCCAGGCTTTGTTGATCCATCCAGTGACTTCCAGGAAAGTTTCATGGTGCATCCTCTTGGTGTCACAAGTTTCTCGCTCACTCCAAACTTTCTTTCTGCTGCTCGATTACCATTTTCAGCTGCATATTTCACTACTTGCAGTTTGTAATCTGCAAAATATTATTTTCCTTTTGGGGGCATTTGTGTTCAGTTTTCTCAGTCGTCTTTATAAGTTTGTTTAAATTTTAAATTTTCAGTGGTGCAGAAGTAATGGTGCGATCAACTGACATGATGCAGACAGGACAGATGCTCTTTCTGCAGGAGACATGCGCAGTAGAGCCAAGTGACAGTGGTACAGGAGGAACAGGAGCAACAGATACTGACACACAAGACTAGAGCGCCCTCTCATGGCTGTCAATGTGAAAATTTTAATATACAAGTCACACCTGAGTATAAGTCGCAGGACCACCCAAACCATGAAAAAAGTGCGACCTTTCTGAAAAATACGATAATATAAGTCCATTTACGTGTTATTCACCCCTCTCTTTCTTTTTTTACTGTGTTTCAGAATTGACCAGAAAGTGTCGAGTAGTTCTTATGGATACAAGCTGAACGAGGCTCAGGCCATTCTGAGTGAAGTCCGCTCCATCCGAGACGCCATCAACTCCGGAGAGAAGGAGAAACAGGAGCTCATGCAGGTAATGCAAACTTTCATACTTCTAGCTTTGTCTTAGGGATGTGACAAAATCCCTCGATACCGTATTTTCACGATATGCATCTCACGTTTTGATATTTTGCGGAGGCTTAGAAAATTGTGCTACTTGTAAAAGCCTTTGGTACTTTTATAATATGAAGAATTAAGATTTAAAAGTGCTTAATAACAGTTATTTCTTCATGTAGTCTGCACTGACAACACCAAAGGATCATGGTCTATGTAGTTCCCTCTGTTTTTTAGCTATAGCTGCACCATGGCAAGACAAGTTTATTTGTGTGTCACAATTCATTTACAAAATTGAATAGAATTACTGAATAAGAAAGACATAAAAATCACCATAACTATTCATTTAAGCAAAGATACTTGTAATTAGATTTTTGTGATTGTCTCCGATATTATTGTGAGACTTTTGATATAAATATCACAATATTTCAGTCATGTCCCTACTTCGTTTGTCTCTCTCTCATATTGTAAGCTAAAGTTGCACTACGTAACTTTTATGGCACTGGGGTCCACTATTTGGATATTTGGCAGTGACGTCACATTGGGGGGTTCTACATGCATGTGTATTGGCGGAAGGTTCACCAGTTACCATGGAGACACAGTGCACAAATTTGCAAACACGCTTTAAATAAGTTTTAAGATTGGCTGAAAACTCAAAAAAAAACAAAAAAAAACACAAAATGATTTAAACGGCACATTTTCTGGAGTCACTTGTTTTTCATCAATTAGTAACATAAATAAGTTTAATGCCATACTGTAAAACATTGATTCTTTTTTTTTTAAATAACTATTTCTTCTAACAAAATGAAAATCCCCTTGAGGAAACAGTTCGGAAATGTTGCATTTTGTTTAAAGTTGCACTATGTTACCTCCTTATCTTCAAGAAAATGTTACTGCTTGACTTGAAATATTCCGCAGTATGGCATTAGGCCTGTTTATCTTGCATTTATTTAATTGCCGATGTTTTTATCGCTGGAATCTACCTTGAAAAGCGTGCATTTATACATTCGAGTGGGCTCATTTCTTCACAGATCTTACTTGTAACTTGGCCTGTTGGCGCCGCATGCTTATCTCCATGGAGACAGATAAGTTTAATGCAATACTGTGGAATATTCTAGGTCTTAAGCTTGCATAATACATAATTAAATCAATGAGTTTTGCTTTTTTAATTGGCGGCTACACCTTAATAAACGAAAACTTTCTCAAATCACTCTCTAAATATTCATCGTTACGTTTTTTTATAATCTTGTACTTGTTGGAGTGTTGTGTATCTGCCGCAGTGGGGCATTAATGTTGCATGATGGGAGTTGGAGTTTGTTCATCCGCTGCAGGTGAGAGGCACAGAATAATAAAGGCTGCCTCATGAATGTTTCAAACGTCTGATGCAAAGGGGTGAAATCACAAAATTCACTTGTGTCTCTGTACAGTTCACATTACAGAAATAATGACCAGGCCTGTCACGATAATTACTCTATTTGCTTATTGTTCAAAACATGAAAGCTGGATTAACATATTTTGGGACTTTATATTTATCGTTAGGGATAGGACTAGATCTCGTGTCGCAAGATCCAGTGAGACAAAACTACCACAAGATCGTGCACACATCAGAAAAATTATCTTGTGAGAGTTTTTCCACCTGAATTTACCTTTGGCTTGGACAAAAAAAAAGTTAAGAGATGGTACAATTTGAGAAGCTGTAGTCCAAAAAAGCAGAATACAACGATCACTAAAGTATGACCGTATTTTTCTGACTATAAGGCGAATCCGTGTATCATTCGTTCATTTGTTTTTCAGTATAAAACCAAAAATAAGAAAACAAAAAACAACTATTTTCTTCATTATTACCAAAATGAAAAAAAACGATAACGATTTGTTTTTTCAGTTTTTTATTTTGTGTTTAAATGAATAATTGAAAAACAATGGATAACGGCCGTTTCCAGTTTCCGTGACTTAAACTGTGATGTTGGACTTTTGCGCCACATACGGACTGAACCAGGACTATACCAGGACTAAACCATTTTCAGTCCTGGTCTGGTCCCAGTCTCAATCCTGGTCTCAGTCTTGGTCTCAGTCCTGGTCTCAATCATGGGCTGGTCCTGGTCTTGTCCCGGTCTGATCCCGGTCTCAGTCCTGGTCTCAATCATGGGCTCGTCCTGGTCTTGTCCCGGTCTTGTCCCGGTCTGATCCCGGTCTCAGTCCTGGTCTCAGTCCCAATCTGGTCCCGGTCTGATTCTGGTCTGGTCCTGGTCTGGTCGCAGACCTGTTTTAGTCCTGGTTCAGTCCGGCATCGCAGTTTAAGTCACGAAAACGGGAAATGGCCGTGATCCATTTTTCCATTATTTATTTAAACACAAAAATGGAAAACTGAAAAAATGAATCATAATCAGTTTTTCCATTTTGGTTTTGAAGACAAATAATGAAAAAAAAACAACAACAACAAATGAATGAATGAATGATACACGGGTCAAGGCGCACTTAAAATCCTTTATTTTTCTCAAAAATCGACAGTGCGCCTTATAATCCTGTGCACCCTATGTATTAATCCTGGTTGTGTTTACAGACCTCGAACAGATTTTATGTGGTACACTGCGCTGAAATCTGTCAAAATGTTTTAGTACGACTTTGGTAAACTACGAAGCCAGGCTAGTTGATGGATCACTCGAGCATTATAGTTATTGTAGTCAAGAACCTTGCGGAGTAAGATCAAGCGAGCAGTTTTTTTAGCGCTTATAGTTTATGCAAATGAGCCATGTGGTTTTAAGTTTGGTTTCTGTAAAACGTAAACAAATGTGCACACAGCTGCATTAAACACTTTATTACTCAATGTATATTTGAGTCGTCCTCATAAGAAATAAAAAAACAAACTTAAATTATCCACCCACATTCACATTCATAATCCACATTCATCAAGACAGGGAGGCAACGCCAGGCGAATTACACCACAATCTACCAATGGATCATGGAGGCCTGGGCTAAGGATCAATCTCAAGTGTCGTCCGTTTGTTTTGCTTAATGCGCCTTATAATCCGGTGCAACTTATTTATGAAAATAGATGAGATAATTCAACATTAGGGTCCAGTCAAGCGATAATGGAGGGAAAAAGCAAATTTTTTATATTCAAATGTCTCTTATTCAGAAACTAGAGGGACTATTGAAATAAGTAAAGTATCAGAATGTAGGAAAGAGTTAACACTCCAACAGGGTCAAGTTAAACCTGTGATATTCTTTCAAGTTGTTGCCAAAATTTTAAAAATCTCATGTCTGTAACAGAGGGAATGAAATATGCAGCACTTTTTGGGTAATAAATCCAAACAGTGATAACTAGCGGTTCTCACTTACATATCCTTAACAAACTGGTTTGAATATTTGCTTCATATAGTTTTCTACCATATGGTACAAGATTAGGTTGAAAAACCTCTTACTTTTTGAGTAATGAGATTTTTTATTAATAAAGGTCATGGTAACGGAGGGAAAAGTAACGGAGGGAAAATTGTGCAAGTAGAAGGTGCAGGATTTTGCATAATTTGTCAGCCTTTTTCTTCTGAATACTTTAATATTACTTCAGAATGAAAGGAAACTATTTCTATAAATATGTCAGTCCTTCCAAGCTAATTTTTATCATTTTAAATACATTTCTTTTTGAAAAATCATATACCTTCATCAACAGTTCAAAGATCGAATAACACAAGATATGATGAAATACATCCATTTATTTATTTGCAGGTCTTTGAAATTTGGGAAATAATTTTTGTTCCATGTTTCATACATGGTCTGTTTAAAACATATGTAACTTTAGAACCAAAAATGGTACAGAAAAAGGTAAACAGTTTCATAAACTAGAGTACATATGTATCTGTTGAATACATTTTTATATCAGATGCATTAACTTGAACTTTTGGCCTTGCTCTTTACTTCTGCTTGACCGGGCCCATTAATGATATTGCGCCTTATAATTCAGTGCACCTTATAGTAAAAATAAATAAAAATTGTGAAGCCAAAATTGTAGAATAGATTGCACTACGTTGTTATTATTTATTACAAATTATGCCCAAATCTCATCTTGTCTCGTTCTCGTTGTGTGTCTTGTTCCATCCCTATTTATCATGTGTACAATTTGTTTGCAACAGTGTGGATATTTTTGTTATTTTTATGTAACACAGTAAGATTTAAGCTGTCCAATCCAATCCACTTTATTTATATATCACATTTTAAAATAAACACGACCATTTCCAAAGTGCAGCACAGACAAATAAGAAGTAAATCATAAAAAAAGCTATAAACTAAAACTATTCAGAAAAGGTTCATTTTTTTTTCTGTGAATGGGACTTTTTTAGTATCAATACCTGCGAAAAATTTGTTGGAAAATGCGTCAGTACTAGTTTCTGTCTTGATTAGTGTCTGCTTTTTTTATATGTTTTGACAACTTTAATATGTAGAGCTGCAAAAACATAAAAGAAGGCGTGCTTTTCAAGGTATTTGTGAGTAATAAAAATACCTGCACGTGAATAAAGGCAGAGTTCAGTCGTGTCATAAATAACATTGTTTAGATAAGATATGGGGATTTCACTTTCACACCGGTTTGACCTGAATGCCTTATCGCTCGAATCAAATGAAACTATTGTACTAATAATTAACATGGGACAGCTGTAAAGATTGGGGGAATGCAAAATTACAGTAAAGCATAAATGGTCATAAAAATAAAGTTAAAATCAAAAGTAAAATCTTAGGTCAATGCATAGGTTTCAGAGTGATGAAAATTGCAATTAAAGGAGATATGGGTCCGGTCAAGTGGTAACAGAGGGAAACAGGGGCAGATTTTTTACATTCAAATGTCGCTTATTCAGAAACTAGAGGGACTATTGAAATAAGTAAAGTATCAGAATGTAGGAAAGAGTTAACACTCCAACAGGGTAAAGTTAAACCTGTGATATTCTTTCAAGTTGTTGCCAAAATTTTAAAAATCTCATGTCTGTAACAGAGGGAATGAAATATGCAGCACTTTTTGGGTAATAAATCCAAACAGTGATAACTAGCGGTTCTCACTTACATATCCTTAACAAACTGGTTTGAATATTTGCTTCATATAGTTTTCTACCATATGGTACAAGATTAGGTTGAAAAACCTCTTACTTTTTGAGTAATGAGATTTTTTAATAAGAAAGGTCATGGTAACGGAGGGAAAATTGTGCAAGCAAGTAGAAGGTGCATGATTTTGCATAATTTGTCATCTTTTTTCTTCCAAATACTTTAATATTACTTCAAAAATGAAAGGTAACTATAATATAAATATATGTCAGTCCTTCCAAGCAAATTTTTATCATTTTAAGTTTTTTTTTTTTTTTAAAAATCATGTACCTTCATCAACAGTTCAAAGATGGAATAACACAAGATATGATGAAATACATCCATTTATTTACATGATTTGCAGGTAAACAGTTTCATAAACTAGAGTACATATGTATCTGTTGAATACATTTTTATATCAGATGCATTAACTTGAATTTTTGGCCTTGCTGTTTACTTCTGCTTGACCGGGCCCATTTCCAACCACTATGTCACCATCTACACGATTTCAACAGTTATAGAGACAAAATGACATAACTTTTCTTATTGTAACTAATTAATAGGGCTTAAAATTAGCACAAAAACTGAACTGAAACTCAACCTTGAATATGGATTTCTGGGTGAATGTCTTGTGCTTGTCGCCATATAAATACGTAAGTTTAATATTATACTGTGAAAAAATTCAAAGCAAAGCGGCGACATCTCCACAGTGGCATTGTTTAATCCATCCATTTGTTTTTTTCTTCCTCAGAAACTGGCCGTGCTGAAGGATGGGTTCAGACTGGACTCTGGTTCTCAGCAGGAGCTCTGGGGCAGCTCTCCTTCTCTCTCCAACTCTGAGATGTCCATCAACCGCCTCTTCTCAGACGCTGGATCACAGACGGACACTCCGGTCGAGGTCAGGGCTGCTTCCACCGTTTTAGCCAGAAAATCACTGTGAATTACCAGAGATGTAACTTTAACCAAATCTCTCTGTACGATATTTTTATGATATTTATTGTGATAGTTTGTGGAGGCAAAAACAAAACTGTGAATACTACTACTACTGCTACTTTTTTTTCCTCTTAAAATGCCTTGACAAGACTTAAACCAGAGAACTAAGATTAGCTGTAGTCTGCACTGAAATGGAGCAAAGGATCATGGTCTATGTAGTTCCCTCTGTCATTTTTTTTAGCTATTGCTGCACCATAACTCTTAATTTGAGCAGAGACTTTTAATTTGATATATTGTGATAGTCCACGATATTATTGAGAAACTTTTGACAATACGGTATCACAGTATTTCAATTATTGTTAAATCCCTATTAATTACAGCACCACTCACCCTCTTATACAGTGTTATGTTCATTTTTTCTTACCACTTTCTACATTTTAGATACATACAAAAGATATGAAATATATAAAGAAGAATGGAATTATGTAGTAAACAAAAAACGTACTTGCATAATTTGAAAAATAAGAGAAAAAAAAGTTAAAAAAGGACAAAACTTTTTTTTTATGGTTTAAAAAAAGGAAAAAAATAACTACTAAATATTTTTCCGACAAAGCAAAGGGTGGCTACTTTATGTATGTATTTATTTATATAAAAAGTCTTATTTTCATTTTTTTTCCCTTCGCTACAAATTCAATACTTCTTACTTCATATATTTGATGTCTTCTGTATGTATATAAAATGTAAAAAAAAAATACTGAACATATAGAAAAAGACATTGAGAGGGTGTGGGTGTATATGGCGATAACAGTATTGTTTTGAAGATTTGATACATATTTTTTGACATAAGTATTTCATTTATACATGCCTTGATTTACCTGTCAAACGTGTCAAACTCTGCCTTTTAGTTTTTTTTTTTTTACCTTGTGCGGTATATTTCCCATAAAAAGAAGTGTTTTTGAAAGTATCTTCTGTGTGTGTCCAGGTCATGTCCAGCAACAACAAACTGGCAGAAAAAGTTCGTCTGAGTCTGAAATATGAAGAGGCCAAGAGAAGGTACTACAAATAGTACTACTACTACTGCTATGACTACTACTACTACTACTACTACTACTACTACTACTACTACTACTACTACTACTACTACTACTACTACTACTACTACTACTACTACTACTACTACAGGAAACACTACAACTACTACTACTACTTCAACAAACACTACTACTACTACTACGACTAATACTACTACCACTACTGCTACTACAACTGCAACAACTACTACTATTACCAAAACTGCTACTACTACAGCTATGACAACGACTACAACTACTACTTCTACTACTACAACAAACACTACTACTACTACTACCACTGCTACTGCCACTGTTACTGCAACTAGTACAACTTCAACTACTACTACTACTACTACTACTACTACTACTACTACTACTACTACTACTACTACTACTACTACTACTACTACTACTAATACTACAACAAACACTACAACTACTTGCTACCACTACAGTTACGCTTTTTTTTTTTTTTTAATGTTGCTTCCTCATTGAAAACATATTTGGAGTTTTGATTGTTGGTTTTTCAGAAAACCAGAAATATTTAGGCTGAGTTTTGGAAATTCCTCTGCTCCATCTTGTGATAATAAGTGCTCCACTTCACTGTTTTTAAACTCCATACATTTTCACTAGAATCATTTGGATCATTTCAGATCTGGAATTCCAATTTCTACTGAACTAAAGGTAAAAGGAGCTGTTAACTTGAAAACTAAAGAGACTGATAATAAAGAGTTACTCAAATGTATGAATGAAACAAAACAAAACTCCAGGTCTGTTTTTGAGGAGGTAACAACATTATAACATGATTTAAAGCTCATAAGAATCTTTTTTGTGTAATATAGGACCTTTAATATTTTTGTTAAGTACATGGGGAAAGCAAAAAGTCCCCACAAACTGCTGATCTCTGTAGTTTTCACCAGTATCTCCTGTATCGTTCTGTAGGATTGCGAATATCGAAGTGCAGATTGCGAAGCTGGACAGTGAGGCGTGGCCCGGCCTGTTGGACCCGGAGCGAGATCGTCTTATTCTGATCAACGAGAAAGAAGAACTGCTGAAGGAGCTCCAGTTCGTGAGACCGAGAGCGAGACTGGAGCCCAATGACGCAGAGAAACTGGAGACGCAGAAGAAATGTCTGGAGAGGGACCTGCAGGCGGCGAGGGACAGCCAGAGCAAGGCCCTGACGGAGAGGTGAGACAGACCTGATGGGAGTACAGTAAGACCTAGGCTGTGTCCAAATGTCTACACTATTACTTACGCAATATCTAGGGGCCACACCATTTTTAGGGATTTCCGAATATCCAATTGGTGAAAAAGTAGTGCACTCAAAATTTACCACAGTGTACCTTGAAAAGTGGTGGGCATAATAGACCACAACGTTTTGCGAGAGTCTGCATAACAACGGCGTACAGCGACAAATGACACTGTTGATCCGTGCTTCTGAATAAAACACACTTAAATAAACCGTTATGGTGTAAAGGTGCCACACAACCTTAGACTTACTTAGACTTAGACAAACTTTACCGATCGTTCGTGGAAACCGTCTGACCTCGCAACATTAGGATTCGTTCGCTTGATGGTAGCCGGATACTTTTTTTATTTAACCAATTGCTGCTATTTGGTCGTGACGTATGTAATGCGCCGCTAACGGGGATAACTGGTATATTAAGCTTTTCCCATAGGAAGAAGGGCAATAACGTCTTTCCCCTTGATAAAATTCACCAAACATTCTCTTTGTTCCGGCTTTAAATCCTCGATCTCAGGAACTGTTGACAACACAGAATATATGGCTCTTCGCTGATTGGCTGGTGCCCGAACTTGCACTTGCAGTGTTTTTGCGAACCGTCTATTGTATTCCCATTCGTGACCTAGTCGTTGGAAAGAAATTAAATTAAAGGGAGGGACTAAATGGCACCAGCCTGGCTAGTCAAATAAGGCATAATTATATAATTGTACAAGTAACAATAAAATATAGAAATAAAGTAATAAAAATATATATCAGCTATAAAGAAGAAGTCGTAAGAAAAACAGTGCAAAGATGACATGATCATTGACAGGACACTGGGTTGGATATCTGTTGCGTAAGGGTGAGTTGTTGTACAGTTTTCCCATTAGAATAAAAAAGTAGCAACTAGGGATGGGCATTTGATGAAATTTTCTTGATCGATCGTTGGAAGAATTAATGATCGATTATCGATTAATCATTAACGTTTTTATTTTAAAATGATCATCATTATTATTACTACCTGCACTACTAACCTGCATAAATAAATTCAACTTTACAACATATAAACCGTAACCACTCTAGAGCCACATCAATCCGTTTGACATTATAATGTGTTTAATTCAGTTTTGCACAACTCTCACAGAAACAAAACTTAAAACTGCATCGCTAATTTGCATAAATTAAGCGAAGATAAAAATACAGCTCTTGTGTCGCTGATGCGGTCAATTTCTGTCGGATTAAAAGACATGACTCAGTGGAATACAGGTTAGTGTGACCAGATTTGCGTTTGTCAAAACCAGGACACCGTACGGGGGGAGGGAGGTGGGGACTCGTCATCGACATTGAGCGACTCTCACCTGGCAAAGTTTTTTCCCACTGGACACCGAAACATATGTTCTGCTTTATACACTGTGTACATGGACTCACACTTGTCCTGACCGGAACAGAAAGCGTTTAATTTCTTGTACATATCATCGTTAAATACACATTTGCGCTTCGGCACGTTGCAGACTGACCGACTGTTTGTGTCTCGCTCCTTCTGAGTGCAGAGAGACACATGTACTGACCCCTGTTTGGTCACACTACGCACAGCAACCTACATTCGGTTTGTTGATTAAAATGAACGTAATCGATGAAATTCTTAATGATCAATTATTGATTAATCGACTAATCATGCCCATCCCTAGTAGCAACAATAAATACTGACCCCAAAAATACTTGTTAATTGACTGTTGTGAGCTTTAATATTGTTACTTATTGAAGTGATTCTATCCAAATGATTCTAGTGAAGGTGTATGGAGTTTAAAAACACAGGGGAGCACGTGACATCACAAGGTGGAACAGAGTGTTTTGTGTTTGAGAGAAGAACTCGGCCTAAATGTGCAGGGTTTGTGCGTTAAACGTGTGAATGAAACAAAACACAACTCCAGGTTTGTTTGTGACGAGGAAACATAACAGATCAGAAATATGAGCTCTTTAAAATTACAGCCTGAAAATTGTTAGTTTCTTCCACCCAAACACTGAGTAAATCTTTTGGTTGTAGTCGTGACAAACCCGGGGGCAGTTAATTTGACATTTTGAGTCGGTGAATACGCATCTGTGTGTCTTTGTGAGAGAACAATCCTGCACTTGTTCCGACGCACTGAAGGAAATGTCTTTGTGGAGAGACGGGACGGAGGGTTTGAGTTTCACGGCCGCAGACAAAGTGAGCTCAGGTAAGGACGGAACAAGTGCGCGCTCTGTTTTAGAACGGAGGGAAAGGGGGAAGACGAGACAGGGAGAGAGAGAGAGAGGGGAGGAAGAAGAGAAGGAGAGGAGAGAGAAAGAGGAGTAGAGGAGAGACAGAGGAGAGGGCGAGTGGAGAGAACAAGAGGAGGGAGAAAGATTAGAGAGAGGGAAGGGCGGAGAGAGATGCAGGGAGATGAGAAGGAGAGGGGGGACAGAGGGAGAGAGAGAGGTGAGGAGGAGAGAAAGGAAGAGAGAGGTTGGTGGAGAGAGGAGAGAGAGGAAGAAGGGGAGTACGAGAGAGACAGAGGAGAGGGAGAGTGGAGAGAGAGCAGAGAGAGGGAAGGGCGGAGAGAGATGTAAGGAGATGAGAAGTAGAGGATGGAGAGAGAGGTGGGGAGGAAAGAGCGAGAAAGAGGTGGGAAGAAGACAGAGAGAGAGAGAGAGAAAGGAAGGAGATAAGAGAGGGAAGGGCAGAGACATGCAGGGAGACGCAATGAGAGGGAGGAGTGAAGGAGAGGGGAGAGAGAGAGAGGAAGAAGCGAAGGAGAGATATAGGGAGATGAGAAGGAGAGAGAGAAAGCGAGGGAGAAGCGAAGGAGAGGAGAGAGTGAGAGGAAGATGAGAAGGAGAGGGGGAGAGTTGAGTGGAGAGAAGAGGAGGGAGAAAGAAATTAGAGAGATTAAAGGGTATAGAGAGAAAGATACAGGGAGATGAGAAGGAGAGAGAAAGACAGAGGAAGAAAAGTAGAGAGAGACAGAGGGAGAAGCGAAGGAAAGGAGAGAGAAAAAAAGCAGAAGTATAGAGAGAGATACAGGTAGGTGGGAAGGAGAGAGACAGGGGAGAAAGAAAGGAAAAGAGCGAGACAGTGAGAAGAGAAGGAGAGAGATGGATACAGGGAGATGAGCAGGAGCGGAGGGAGAGAGAGGTGGGGAGGAGAGAGACAGGAAGATGAGAAGGAGAGGAGAGAGACCTAGGAAGAGAAGGAGGGATAAACAGAGGAAGGAGAAAAGAAGAGAGGGAGAGTTGAGAGAAAGGGAGGAGGGAGAGAGAGAGTTGGGGAGGAAAGAGAAGAGATGCAGGCAGAAGAGAAGGTGAGAGTGGAGAGGGAAGTGCAGAGAGAGAGAAGAAAGAAGAAGCACGGGAGAGTGGAGTGGAGAGGAGGAGATAGAGATTAGAGAGATTGAAGAGTAGAGAGACATACAGGGAGATGAGAAGGAGCAAGAGAAAGACAGAGGAAGAAGAGTAGAGAGAGAGGGACAGAGGGAGAAGTGAAGGAAAGGAGAGAGGAAAAAAAGGAGAAGTATAGAGAGAGATACAGGGAGATGGGAAGGAGAGAGAGAGACACAGGTGGGGAGGAGGGCGACAGGAAGATGAGGAGGAGAAGGAGAGAAAAAGACAGACAGGAGAAGAGAGAGACAGTGGGAGACCAAACCAGACCAAGTTACAGGTCGGATCTGTGGAGAGGCGACCCCAGTCACAGTTAGAATGTTGTTTTTCTAGGTAATTTTGAGCTATAAAACCACCTGTAATTGAATAAATGTAACATAGAGTTGTTTAATGCCATTCTGCGATTTTATATCGAGTTTTATTTAATTTTATCGCAGTTCCAAGTCATGTAAATCCACTCACCTGTAGTAAAATCTCTCTTTTTCTTCATTTTTTCCCCGATTTTGAGCGTAAACTGATCCTCACTTCCGCTCCGTCAGACTCTGGGTTTGCGTGGAGCAGCTGTTCACGTTGAAAACATGACACTGGGACTATGATTTCGCACAAAGCCCCAGCGTACTTCACACAGAGTATTACTAACACTCTCATTCAATACAGCAGGCTCTTTTTCAGCTGCATAATGGACTCGAGAGGAGGTAGTAGCGCATTCTTGCCCCAATTTTCAAAGGCTTTTATTGTTTTTTTTATTTGAAGCTCAGTCGCGGCTTTGCGCAGTTTGAATTTTGCTGGTTTATTTAAAGGTCCTGTGCTCAATTTTTCCATCTATAAGCAAAATTTCTCTTGCCCCAGTACACATTTATTGTATCTGTCACCTGCTTGTTTCAGGATATGTCATTGCTCTGCCTGGAATGTTCCACAGTATGACTTTAAACAGCTCTACCTTACTTTTATTCAGTTACAGGTGGTTTTATAGCTCAAAATATCTAGAAAATAGATCTAACCTGTTACTCGGTCTGGTTTGGTCTCTATGAAGACAGAAATGTTTAATGCGACTCTGTGAAACATTCCAGGCAAAACGATAACATCCCTCCACCAGAAAAGTTACACAATGCACCTTAAACTTTACATTTATTGACGATTGTAACTGTTTCTCTTCCTGCAGGTTGCGTCTTCACTGTAAGAGGAACAAACTGGTCCGCGAGCTGGAGGAGATGGTTCGACTGGCCTCTTCTCTGCACTCTCAGCTCAAAAGGTGACTCCATCCAACAATTCAGTTCAATTTCTATTCAGACATGATCTGGTTTATAGTAACAGGGTTCTCACAGTCATGGAAATCCTGGAAAAGTTATGGAGTTTGTAAATTCAAAGAAAGTTTTAGAAAAGTCATGGAGTTTTAGTGTCTTTTTCACACAACTACAGCGTTCTATTAAGTTCTCATTAGGCTGTTATGATGATTTCCAAACATATGCACCTTTTTTTGTTTAAAAGAGACGACAATAAATGCACTGACAATATTTTGAATGTTTAAAAACTATAATACCAAACCATAAGGTGAGTGGAAAGAGTTAACATTTCATATTTAGTCCTAAAAGTCTGATCAATTCTATACATGTAGGTGCTGTAAAGTCATGGAAAATTCACTTTAGGTTAAATTTTGTCAGTGAAAAAGAGTGGGAACCCTGTAGTAAGCACTGTTGGGCAAGTTACTTTGAAACTGTAATGCGTTATTTATTACCTATTACTGTCATTTCAAAGTAATTCGTTACATTACAATATTACTGCATTTAAAATGTAAGGCATTACATTACTATTGCATTACTTTAAGTTACTCTCACCAAAATAACTTTTGCGCTGTATATGGACTGAACCAGGACTAAACCAGGTCTAAACCAGGACTAAACCAGAGCTGAACCAGGACTAAACCAGAACTGAACTAGGACTAAAACAGGACTCACTGTAGGGACGGGCTCGAAGGTGACGCAGGAGAAAGGAGCGGCTCTGCTCCACACCTCACGGAGGTAAGAGCGGCTGTCACCCGATCGCTCTTTATGGACACCCTGCTGTTCGGGCTCGCGGCCCTGATTTCAGCAACTATTTGCAGGTACCCGAGCCGGTGCAAGAGTCTGTTACAGCGCGTAACTTCTACCTTCCTTCAGCGTGTCCAGAAGTCCAACTTTTTGTGTGATGGTTTGCATCTTCTTCTGCCTTTTGGGTGCGAGCGCAGGAGCCTTTGTCGGTGCAGAACGTTTCGTCGACGTTGTGGGTTTCGTCGGGGAGAAAACTTGCAACCGTACAGCACTTCAGAATCACACTGCTAGAGATTGAACATGTATTTAAATTTGGCAGCTGAACACATTCTGTACTGTACTGTACAGGAGACAGGAGTCCCTTGGCCAGTCAGGACGCAGCGGGAGGAACGCAATACGCATTCATACAATGTAAAAAAAAACAGGGCATGCAAAATTGCACAAAAAATAAATAAATAAAAATCTGCGAGACAGCGAAAAGTGAACTGCGATACAGGGAGGGACGAGTGTAAACCAGGTCTAAACCAGAACTGACCCAGGTCTAAACCAGGTCTAAACAGCGTGGAGTTCTTTGTCAGTCCTTTCGCCCGCGGTTACCTGAAGGTCTATGAGGGCGCATCTCCGGCGTTTCACCGCTGCTGATATCGAGGTGATTTTAGCGAATTTGTATGAAGAAAAACCCACCACTTCAATCCAGGTTAAAAAACACTGTAACGCGCGTTACTCACATTTGTACCGAGTAAAATATTACTATTTTTTCCCCTGTAATGCCTTACATTACTGCGTTACAGCAAAAAGTAATGCATTACTGTAATTCGTTACTTTTATAACGCGTTACTCCCAACACTGGTAGTAAGTAAGCATATAAAAAATAAGAATAATAAAAATGTAAATATACAATGCATGTTAAAATGTATACAGACAAGCCAATGTCTCCACAGCTCAGAGGTGAATCTGACAGAGCTCCACACAGGACACACTAAAGCTTGAAGGATTTGCTTGTTCTAATTCATGGCTCTACACATAAATGATTAAATACAATATCTAACTGTGACAACATTAAAAAGAACAAATTTTTTATTCAATTCTGAATTTCATCAACAAACCAGAGCTTTACTAGCCAGGCTGGTGTCACCCTAGTGCCGCCGCTCAATTTCATTTCTCTCAAGCGATCAGGTCAGGAATCAAAATACACTAGACGGTCGCAAAAACCCTAGAAGCGTGAGTCTGGGCACCAGCCTGTCAGCGAAGAGCCATATATTCTGTGTTGACAGCGATTCCTGAGATCGAGGATTTAAAGCCGGAACAAAGAGAATGTTTGGTGAATTTTATCAAGGGGAAAGACGTTATTGCTCTTCTTCCTACTGGATTTGGGAAAAGCTTAATATACCAGTTAGCCCCGTTAACTGTGCATTACATATATCATGACCAAATAGTAGCAACTGGTTAAATAAAAAAAAGTAACCGCCTACTCCTGAGCAAATGAATTCTAATGCTGTAAGGTTAGACAGTTTCCATGAAGTGAAACCGGCTGATGAATGAGGCTAGAGCTTTACGGCAATTGGACAAAACACTTATTCACAGCATAAGATAAGATGAGATAAGATAACCCTTTATTGTCTCCCATGGGAGAAATTTGTCTTGGGACACGGGATCACATGATTTATCACAAAGACAGAACAACACAACAACAAAAGCACCACACAAACATCCACCAAAGAACAGAAATAAATAAAAGACCGAGTATGACCACGAGTGACACACCAACAGGACCTTTAAGTCACTCTTTACAGGAAAGAACTTCACAATCTTGTATTTTATTAATAATTCCCACACTCTCTAAGCCTATGTGCAGTTTTGATTTCACATTTCGCATGCACATATGCTTAAAGGTTCTGTATCACACAAAACTGACTCTTGTGAGCTTTTAGTCATGTTATAATGTTGTTACCTCCTCAAAAACAGACCTAGAGTTGATGAATGAAACAAAACAAAACAGAATAACATATAACATTGGGAAATAGCGTAATATGAACCGTTTAAGATTTGCACAAAGCCTCTCAAAATGTGAAATAATAATTGCGTTCAGTTTAATCATTTAACCTTTTAACATCTGAGTCATAGCTGGTTTTGGAGTCGCTGGAGACACTTTTTAAAAACATCCTCCTTAAATTCTTAAAGTTGAGATAAGATGATGTAACACTCAGGCAAGATTTGAGAATGTGTTGGTTCAGTACACTTCTTTGCTCTGTTGAAAACGGAAGTGACAAAGAAAAATAGACAAAAAGAGGCTTAATTTTGGTGTTGACAAAATCCTCTTTTTGAGAAAGGATCTACTTTAATTGAAGCTTATAAATATATTTTATTAGCTTTGAATCAGGTGAGTAAATTGACACAACAAAAGAAGATACAGAGTTGTGCAAACCAGTGCTGTCATGATAAAAACATTTCAAATTCAAATAAATAATAAGAAGAAAATGGTTGAATTTAAAGCAAACAAAGCAAAAATAAAAAGTTCAGCACAAACAGTTGAATTATTATGTTACTATTATTTATTTCTTTTTTTTGTTATTATTATTGTTTTATTTTATTTTTTTGTCTATTTTTATCTTTTTTTTTTAAAGCTGCACTTTGTAACTTTTTCGTTGAGGGTCCATCACCTGCTTGTTTCTATGGAGATGTCATTGCTCTGGCTGAAATGTTCCATAGTATGACATTAAACAGCTCTACTTTACATTTATTCAATTACAGGTGGTTTTAGAGCTTAAAAATGCTTAGAAAAACAGGTTTTCTGATTGAAAGCGGGGTCGCCTCTCCACAGATCTGACCTATAACTTGGTCTGGTTTGGTCTCGATGAAGATAGAAAGGTTTAATGCCATACTGTGAAACATTCCAGACAAAGCAATAACAGAAAAGCATTTGACGGATCCTCCACCAGAAAAGTTACATAGTGCACCTTTAGATGTCAACTCAAAGTAATAGTAATTTCTTGAATATTACCATGTGGTCTTGTATTTGCTCTGATTGAGATAAAGATCCTTCTTAAACTTCCTGTCAGTCCAGTATCAGTACCTGCTACACTGAATATATATAAATTTCAATACTTCAGGTTTGTATTAGTATCTGAGTTTTCATTTTAACCCTAATAACCATTGTGCAAAATAAAAACAGAAAGGGTCATTCAGGTTATACGTTTTGTGTGGTGTTGGCACAGTAAAGAAGTGGAAGTTGAAGCCTCTTAACCTCAGCTGGTTTTATTCTTAAGGGTGCATTGTGTAGCTTTTCTGCTGGAGGGTCAAATGCTTTTCTCCATGGAGATGTTCTTGCTTGGTCTGGAATGTTTCACAGTATCGTATTAATTAATTATTAATCACTGCATTTATATAGCGCCTTTCAAGACACCCAGAGCACTTTACACTTCATTGTTCATTCACTCCATGTTCGCCAGTGGTAAACTACTATTGTAGCCACAGGGACAGACTGACAGAAGCGAGGCTGCCAATCTGTGCCATCGACCACCAACGCTCACACACACATAACTTTCTTACTAGGCAATGTGGATGAAGTGCTTGCCTAAGGACACAATAACAGTTTTTGCTACTGTGGGGCACCTGATGTTCAGTGGTCTCGACCTTGCTTAGCTTCTGAGATCTGACAAGATCAGGCTTTGACAAGCTGGTATATCCATTAAACCTTTTTATCCTGATGGAGACCAAACCAGACCAAGTTACAGGTCAAATCTGTGAAGAGGCAACCCTGCTCACAGTCAGAATGTGTGCTTTTCTAGGTATTTTTGAGCTATAAAACCCCTTGTAACTGAATAAATGTAAAGTAGAGTTGTTTAATGTCATACTGTGGAACATTCCAGGCAGAGCAATGACATATTCATAGAAACAAGCAGGACTGCCAACAAAAAGTTACACGGTGACCTTTAAGATGTAGTAACCCAAAATGAGGAGCTCATTCTGCTTTCTTATAAGGTTACTTTTACATCACAAGATTAATTGATCCATTGTTTTTTGACATTGTTGATTTTCATTGACATAACTTGCCATTCTCTCTCTCCCCACAGTCTCTCGGCCAGCACGCTCCTGCTCGTCCGGCAGCAGTCGCGGCTCTCTCACTTCGTCGCGTGGATCTCTCGCCACCACCTCCAGCCTGGGCTCCACCTCCTCCCTCAGCTACACCGACCTCTACCTGGACCAGCCGGAACTACAGGACCCAGACTTCCAAAACAAGCTGGACGTGCTGCTCCAGGACGGCGGCCAGGCGGGCTACAGACCCTCCAGCTCCATCACGACCATCCACGAGCACGAGGTGGTCACGAATTGCACGGGGCGGGAGAACGAAGAAAAATCCAGGGATAAGACTGAAATTCCTGGTTTGAACCGTATACAAAAACTTTCCGAAACGCCGAAATCCATGAGCTCGCTTTCTCCACGCTCTTCGCTGTCGTCCCTGTCCCCTCCGTGCTCGCCCCTGGTCACGGAGGCGGCGTTCCTGTCCGGAGAAGCGTTCCCAGGTCAGGCGGAGGGGGCGGGGCTAGACCTGGAGCTGCACAGTCGGCTGCAGGAGCTGGAGATGAGTTTAGAGACGGAGAAGAGGAGAGAGGAGCAAATGAGAGGGGCCTCGGAAGACAGGAAGGAGCCTGGAGGAGCTCTGCACGAAGATGGCAAAGGTAATGGAGGGATCACACTGTATCAGGGGTGAAGGACGGTGTTAATACATGCAGCATGAATTTCGGACTTCCGGTCATTGCGCAATGCATACTGGGAAGGATTTTCTGAAAAAGTGAGCATTAAACCGCCATGTTTGTTTTCCCAGTGGGATCCGTTTATTGACCAAGTTTAGTTATGGGATTCGGACATCGTAATTGTGTGGTTGTTGGATGTCCTAACAGTGAAAAACTGCTTAGAGAAATGGGCTTTTGAAAGTTTGCGAACTCCATAAATGCAAAAGGGAATCAGATGTGTGTGACTGCAAACCTCCTGTTCAAACTGTTTCCCTTCCCAACGGAATTGAAGAATAGTGAAAGTCGAAAGCAATGAGCAGTATTGACACAGGAAGGACGAAAAAGGAAAGCTTTGGCTGCCTAAGAAATCATCCTGAGTTTGCAGGGAACATTTTGCATGTGGAGCGCCATCAAAGCAAAATCCCGATCCCTCGCTCAACCTTGGTTACGAATTTAACAAGTCAATGCCAAGGAACAACTTCCACTGTAAAACGACCAAGACGTGATGTTGCTGTAAAGTCAGTCGAACAAGAAAGTGCAAGCTCAGTCTGTTTGTCTTCTGTACCTCTCGCTTAACAAACGGGATCCCACTTTGATGGCGCTCCACAGACAAAATGTTCATTGCAAACTCGGGATGATTTCTTAGGCAGCCAAAGTTTTATTTTTTGTCCTTCCTGTGGATCAATACTGCCCATCGCCTTCGCCTTTCACTATTTTTCAATTCCGTTGGGAAGGGAAACAGTTGAACGGAGGTTTGCAGTCACACACATCTGATTCCTTTTTTGCAGTTATGGAGTTTGCAAACTTCCGAAGCCCATTTCTCAAGCAGTTTTCCCCTGTTAGGACATCCAACAACCACATAATTACGATGTCCAAATACAATAAGTAAAATATGACAATATTAGCACCAGAAACAAAAGCGATATGGTTCAAAAGACTTGAAAAGATCGGCTTTGACAATAGACACATCCCACTGGGAAACCAAACTTGACGGTTTGATGCTCACTTTTTTGGAGAGTCCTTCCCAGTATGCATTGCGCAGTGACTGGATGTCTGAAATTCATGATGCATGTATTAATACAGTTGGGTGGCAATAAAATTAAAATTTAAATGGTCAAAATGCAAAATTATGTTGTAATACAGTTCAGTGAGTTCTTGCGTTTAGTCACTAATTGAAAATACCAGGCTCAACATTTGTGATTTTTACCTTTTGGATATTGTAAGGCAAAGTAAAATTTCGTCAATAGGTAAATCTGGCCCATCCTAGAATCTGAAAACCAACAATTAAAATGTTGATTTTAATCATTCTAAATCTAAATCGAAGTCTATTCAGATCCACAAGGGAAATTATTTGGACACAGTAGCTCACACATCACAGTATCTTATAATAACAAAGAGTAAAAACGCAAAGGACTGGTGCAAATAAGGCTTAAGTATAGATGTATATGTACAAAAGAAAAAAAAAAAAAAGAAAAATAGAGAAACAGAGATGAGTTTGGAGACAGAGGGATGGGAAAATATTAACAAAAACGTATATGTAGATTTGTATCATCCAGATAACCATACTCAGATTACGTTTTTGTAATCTGATTAGAAAATATCAAGTTAATATCAAGATAGTTTACATTTACTTGAATTAAGAACATATTATCTTGATTTGAGAAGATGTAATTTTTAGCTATTTACCAATGGAACAAAACATTTTTTCAGGTGAAAAATTTAGGTTTTTCCTGTTGAATTAAGAAAAGAAGATGTCTAAATCCAAGTCATTTTTCTAATCTTGTTTTGTAGTGTAGTACTGTGCATTGAGTACTTTATGTATTCATATCAGGGGTTGGATGATACAGATGTCTCCATAAGCAGCAGAGCGTCCTTTCTATAGACGGATTATTTGTTTGGCAACACAGCGGATGTGCGTGCAGCCTGAGTGCTGAAAGCTCCTCTGCTAAATGAACATTAGTGAGTCGGATACCTCTTAATGACCCGTATGCGTTAAATGCAGTCGAGTGTTTAAATAATAAGAAGAAATGTCTCAAACTTCAGTAGCTGGACATCCACTCACACCTGATTGACACGACTGACCCTGCGCCCCAAGAGAGCCTGAACTCTGCTGAAATCCTTTGACACTGACATGATACAGACAGGATAGTGACTCTTTCTGCAGGAGACATGAGCAGTGCAAAGAGACGTAGTCTGATAATTCCTCTATTGTGAGTTTGCATGTTCTCCCTGTGTCTGGGTGGGTTTGCTCTGGGCACCCGAGTTTCCTACCCTGATTCATCAATCTGACCTCGCAGTGTTGGAATTTTTTCAGTCGACAGTTGGCGGGTTCTTTATTTATTTAACCAGTCGCTGCTATTTGGTTGTCACGTATGTAATGCGCCGGTAACGGGGCTAACTGGTATATTAAGCTTTTCCTAAATCCTGTAGGAAGAAGGGCAATAATGTCTTTCCCCTTGATAAAATTCACCAAACATTCTCTTTGTTCTGGCTTTAAATCTTCAATCTCAGGAATCGTTGCCAACACTGAATATATTGCTCTTCGCTGATTGGCTGGTGCCCAAACTCGCTCTTCTGGGGTTTTTGCGAACCATTTAGTGTATTCTGATTCCTCACCTAGTTGCTGGAGAGAAATGAAATTGAGCGGAGGCACTAGGTGGCGCCAGCCTGGCTACTAGTTTCCCTCATCAACCCAAAACATGCACCATAGGTTAAGACAAGGCAAGGCAATTTGTTTGTACAGCACAGTTCATACACAAAGTAATTTAAAGTGCTTTAATGAATAAGAAAGACGTTAAAATCGTAATCATCATAAAATTTAGATTAAATGAGAAGAGAGCGGTCATTTGCAGCTAAACAGAATAGTTTTGAGTCCCAATTTATTCATTTGTTCATTTGTTTCTGAAGATAAAATCAAAAATAAGAAAAGGAAAAAACAACTATTTTCTTCATTATTTGTCTCCAAAACCAAAATGAAAAAAACAGATAACAGCCGTTTCCCATTTCTATAACTTAAACTGCGATGCCGGACTTTTGCACCACATACGGACTGGACCAGAACTAAATCAGGACTAAAACAAGACTAAACCAGGACTAAACCTTTTTCTTTCCTGGTTTGGTCCCGGTCTCAGTCCCGGTCTCAGTCCCGGTCTCAGTCCCGGTGTCAGTCCCGGTCTCAGTCCTGGTCTCAGTCCTGGACACAAAATTGAAAATTGAAAGAACGAATCATTATCTGTTTTTTTCATTTTGGTTTTGGAGACAAATAATGAAGAAAATAGTTGTTTTTCATTTTCTTATTTTTGGTTTTATTTTGAAAAACGAATGAACGAATGATACACGGATTCAGACTGTTCCAGGTTTTAGCTGCAGAAAACTGAAACGCTGACTCCCCATTTTTATTCCTCCAGCTGAAGTACCTGCTACTGCTCCTGACAGGTTTAACCCAGAAACACTGAAGGATGGGTCAAATGTAGAGGACAAATTTCCCTATGGGGACAGCTAAGATGCTCTTAACCTTACAATCGGAATACACAACATGCCTAACAATAGGCGAGTTTTCATTGTTTTTGGAATTATTTTGGTCGGCGGCAAGAAACACTAAGTCAATATGATGGACGGAGCGAGAAAGCACGTAAAGGGTATTGATCCCGGTTATTTATCCACTCTAACGGCAGAAGAACCAAGACCATTTGACCAGAAATTGGTCATAAGCATCGACGAACGCCAAATCACCCTTTTCAACCCCTACAAAGCCTGGACCAAACCAAATTTCTGGTCAGAATCACCAACTACCTGGCTAAATATTCACTTCGGCGATATCCACAATGACTTGGTGGAAACTCCTGGGCCATTCACAGCAGAAAAGATGAAAACCTCCAAGAGTCTCGATGTGTTGTTAAACTTGTTGGAGTCCACGGTTTGTTAGGATCTTCTACGTTTGCTCTGTGAATGTTTGAAAGTCGTTTAATTCACCGTTAGCGGTTCTTTTCACTCAGAATACGAAAAAGACATTTTCCTTCTTCCGTGCTTCTATTTGTGCATCCGATAATGCAGCAGGAATTTACCATTATCGGGGATAAATACACAAGGTTGCGCACTGTGTTTGACCGCTATCGTGTTTCTTGCCTCCGACCAAAATATTTCCCAGCATGCAACGCGGGCTTTTAATAACAATGACGTCAGCTGAAACTCGCCTATAGAGTTGCTGGTTCATAAGACAATGGAATATTTTATTGTGTTTTATCTACCTAATTTGAGAAAGAAAAAAAAAACAAAAAAAAAACACTATAAAACATATTACTCAAATTGGAAATAAAGTTATGGTGTCAACTTTTATAAAGATTCTAGGTAAATTTAATGGAGTTGACCATTGCCCGCCTCGTCTTATAATGAATGTCAGTGTTAATTTCTATCTGGTGAATCATCTTTTACAACCCGCACAGTTGATGAGCCTTAATTTTAGCCTCTGGTCTCTTGATCTCAAAGCAATCTGCTTTTCCGCTGTAAATGTGACTTACAGTTATTACAGTTAGTGGGTCAAGTAATAAAATGTGATATAAAAATCTTTATCAGTTTTCTTCACTGTTGACTGGAAGCTACATCACGATGCGTTTTAGTTAATTACTCATGCAGAAAAGGGCTCAAGTCAGCTTTTAGACTCTGTATAGTACTAAAACTAGTATTTATACTGGATAATCATTTGAGCAGTTATCAATATTTTAAAAAGTCTCAATCACAGGACAGAAATTAACCTTTCCTCAATAGCTTTAGGATGATCTTGGAACACACAAATATAAGACCACATGGTTTCTATTTACGTACACACATACATTTATAATTATGCCTTATTTGACAACAGTCTCTTGCTATTTTTGCTATTTTTTAGAATGTATTATTACCGTTTATATATATATCTATTTCTCTTTCTTCTTGTTTTTGTAGTTTATTGTGATGTGTGAGCTACTGTGTCCAAGTCATTTCCCTTCTGGATCAATACATTTTGTCCAAGTCTAAGGCGACGTTCAGACTGCAGCATGAACTGACCCAAATCTCATTTTTTTCGTCCCTGTGCGACCTGTATCTGACCTTTTAATGACAGTCTGAATGACACAGATCTGATTTTTTTCAAGTGTGACCCAGGCCACTTGGATATGTGCTCCTAAAACCGATACATATCCGATCTTTTGACATGCGACTTCAGTCAGAACGGTCAGGTCGCGTTCATCCCACCTACACGTCAGGCTCGGAGACAAGCAGACTTAAGACTCAAACGAAGTGGCCGTGGACGTGTAACCTGTCCATTTTATGAAGAACTGGACTGTATTTTGTCAAGGCTACTTCCATAAACACTGAGCACGTTCACTCCGTGCACATGCGGGACACTTTTTGGGTGTTTAAAGTTCACACTGGAGATCACATGCAAGTCACATTTAATTGGAAATGTGAACGACCTCGCAAAAAAATCAGATTTCACAAAAAAATCCAATGCAGTCTGAACGTATCCTAAGTCAAAGTAAAAATACAAATAACAATCTCAGTAGCAGCGGCCTCCACTGTCTGGCATTTTTCTTTTGTAAAGGTAGTTCACTAGAGGAAAAAGGTAGGAGAACCCTGGCCTATAATTATAAATTTAAGACGACGACAACGACAACAACAACAGAAAAAAAACATTAAAAATAAAAAACAAAACAACAATAATAGCAAAAATAAAATAATAATAACATCATTCAAATGTATGTGCTAAATCCTTAAAAGTGCATTATGTAGCTTTTCTGATGGAGGGTCCTGTCAAATGCTGTTACTGCTTTGTCTGGAATATTTCACAGTATGGCTTTAAATCTTGATCGTCATGGAGATCAAACCAGACCAAGTTACAGGTCAGATCTAAGGAGAGGCGACCCCGCTCACAGTCAGAATTCCTGTTTTTCTAGGTATTTTTGAGCTATAAAACCACTTGTAATTGAATAAATGTAAAGTAGAGCTGTTTAAAGTCATATTGTGGAACATTCCAGGCAGAGCAATGACGTATCCATAGAAACAAGCAGGTGACGGACCCCCAACCAAAAAGTTACATATTGCACCTTTAAAGAAAATAATAAAAATAGACAAAAAATAAAATGGAACAATAATCATAACAACAAAAGAAAGTAATAATAACATAATAATTCAAGTGTTTGTGCTGATTTTTTTTGTTTTGTTTTGTTTTCAGACACCGCTGCGCTGAGAGGAGGGCAGAAGAAGAGCGGAGTGACCTCGGCCGTGTCTGACGAATCTGTGGCCGGAGACAGTGGAGTCTATGAACCCGCCGATCGCAGGTCAGGACCAAACACAGCTCTTATTGACACTTTGCAGCTCAGGTCGTCGACGTTCCCTGTGGGCACTGCTCTGTCTGAGGCTTTGATAGACTTAAATCTGAGGTTTATTTACACACAGTCTGACCGTAGAACTGACTTAGATGATTTGTGCGGTTAAAATGTGTAACTTGCGCTGTGTAATTTTCTGACTGGAGGTCCTTCACCTGCTTATTTCTAACGAGATGTCATTGCTCTGCCTGGAACGTTCCACAGTATGACTTTAAACAGCTCTACCTTACAGTTTTTCAATTACAAGTGGTTTTATAGCTCAAAAAACACCTAGAAAAACATACATCTGACCTGTAACTTGGTCTTGGTTTGGTCTTCATGAAGATAGAAAGATTTATTAATGCCATACTGTGAAACATTTCAGACAAGGCAATAACATCTCCACAGAGTCCTACGTAGAGTCCCGGTCTTGTCCTGGAACAATGGTAGACCAGGTTGAGAGTGACTTCAGTGTATTTATTACAGAAAACCCATCAGCGAAGGTTTAGTCCTGGTTTAGTCCTGGTTTAGAGCTGGTTCAGTGCTGGTTCAGTGCTGGTTTAGACCTGGTTAGACCTGGTTTAGGCCTGGTCCATTTCTGGTTTAGACCTGGTTCAGTCCTGGTTTAGACCTGGTCCATTCCTGGTTTAGACCTGGTCCATTCCTGGTGTAGTCCTGGTTCAGTCCTGGTTTAGTCCTGGTTTAGACCTGGTCCATTCCTGGTGTAGTCCTGTTTTATTCCTGGTTTTATTCCTGGTTTTATTCCTGGTTTAGTCCTGGTTTAGACCTGGTTTAGACCTGGTTTAGACCTGGTTTAGACCTGGTTTAGACCTGGTTCAGTCCTGGTTTAGACCTGGTCCATTCCTGGTTAAGGCCTGGTGGCATGTATATATTTATAGTCCGCTAATGACACCGCTTAGGTTTAGTCCTGGTTTAGACCTGGTCCATTCCTGGTTTAGACTTGGTTTTATTCCTGTTTTTTTTCCTGGTTTAGTCCTGGTTTAGTCCTGGTTTAGTCCTGGTTTAGTCCTGGTTTAGTCCTGGTTTAGTCCTGGTTTAGTCCTGGTTCAGTCCTGGTTCAGTCTTGGACTATTGGGCTGTCAGATTAATGGGCTGATCCCGACTTATCACGGGCAAAGGTGGGTAACAGGTGGAATGTTAACGGGTTTGACGGATGGACTCTCCACCAGAAAAGTTGCGCAATCCAGCTTTAACTCTCACTAAAAATCACTCTCTAAACAGGGCCACAAACTCTTAGATTGATCACAGGCTCCTGAAAATGTGCTGTCTACATCCATTTTGTGTTTTTTCCTGCTTTTTCGGACAATTTTAAAACCTTTTCAACACTATTTTCTAATGTATGTTTTATGTCTCCAATGGTAATGGTAACGTTTGACCATAGAGATACATGTAGAGCACCCCCAGCATGACGTCACTGCAAAATATCAATAACCCATTCAGAGAAATTCAGTTTGATTTTCTCTCCTTGAAATCAGTCAGACAGATATGACTTGTCACCAAAGTTTTCGGAGAGGAGACAGCTGCCCATTACTTCCAAATTCAGACGCTCGGTAGAACTTTTGTCTTTCCCCTGCACGGTGAACGGTCTGAGAGTTCGCCAGAGGAAATCAGACCTCTATGAAGCAGAACCAGCCGCATATTCTTGTATGAAATCAAATTGTTCTGGTTGGTGTGGCTCGCTCCGGTCCCCATCTGTTAAGGGACATCATCACAAACCAGTTTTACACCCTCTCATTTTCAGTAAAGACTTCAACTTTTAAGTGCGGATTTATTGTTTGAGTTAAATCTTTGTAAACACGGTTCGAAGTTTCTGATCTTATAATGTTGTTTCCTCATCACAAACAGACCTGGAGTTGTGTTTTGTTTCATTCACATGTTTAACACACTCTCTCTACACCTTCACTAAAATAATCTGGATAATTTCAGCTCTGGAGTTGTCAGTCTGTACTGAACTAAAGGTAAAAGTTTTATATTTACTTAACAACTACCACTTCATGACATCCCAAGGTGGAACTGAGCATTTTGACCTTTGGAGATGTAGATGGACTCATAATAAAAGGTTACTCAAGCATGAATGAAACAAAACACAACTCCAGGTAACAACATTATATTTCTTTGTCTGGAATGTTCCACAGTATGGCATTAACATGGAAACCAAACCAGACCAAGTTACAGGTCAGGTCTGTGGCAAAGGCAACCCCAATCCGTGTGTCATTCGTTCATTCATTTTTCAAAATAAAATCAAAAATAAGAAAATGAAAAAACAACTATTTTCTTCATTATCTGTCTCTGAAACCAAAATGAAAAAAACAGATGATTAGTTTTTTCAGTTTTCGATTTTGTGTTTAAATTAATAATTTAAAAAAACGGATAACGGCCATTTTCTGTTCTTGTGACTTAAACTACGATGCCAGACTGAACCAGGACTGAACCAGGACTAAAACAGGACTAAAACAGGTCCGGGACCAAACCAGGACTGAGGCCAGGACTGAGACCGGGACTAAGACCGGGACTGAGACCAGGACCAGACCAGGACTTAGACTGGGACCATACCAGGACCAGACCACGATTAAGACCGGGGCTGAGACCGGGGCTGAGACCGGAATTGAGACAGGGAACGGGACCAGGACTGAGATCGGGACTGAGACTGGGACCAGACCAGGACTGAAACCATGACTGAGGCCGGGACCAGACCAGGACCAGACCATGACTGAGACCGTGATTGAGACTGGGACTGAGAACGGGACTAGACCAGGACCAGACCAGGACTGAGACGAAGACTGAGACTGGGACCAGACCAGGACTGAAAACGTTTTAGTCCTGTTTTAGTCCTGTTTTAGTCCTGTTTTAGTCCTGGTTCAGTCCTGGTTCAGGCCGTATGCGGCGCAAAAGTCCGGCATCGCTGTTTAAACGGATAATGACTGTTTCCTGTTTCTGTGACTTAAACACAAAATTGAAAACTGAAAAATCATTATCTGGTTTTTCATTTTGGTTTTGGAGACAAATAATGAAGAAAATAGTTGTTTTTAATTTTCTTATTTTTGGTTTTATTTTGAAAAATGAATGAACGAATGTTACATGGGTTCAACTCCGCACACAGTCAGAATGTCTGTTTTTTAAAGGTTTTTTTAGCTATAAAATCACCTGTAATTCAATACATGTAACGTAGATCTGTTTAATGTCATACTGTGGAACATTCCAGGCACAGAGACATCTCCTTCGAAACAAGCATGTTACGACTCCTTTAAAGCTCACAAGAGTCATTTTAGTGTAATATCTTTAAATGCCTCTGGTCTGGTTCAGGTCTGGCGTGGCGTTGGAGCTGGAGGAGCGTCTGTCTGTGGGCTGCCCCCAGGTCCAGATCAGTCTCAAGTTTGAGTCCAGAGACCAGAGATTCACTGTGTTTGTGACTCAACTGTCGAACTGCAGCGCCCTCTGTCTGCCACACAACCACAAGATGTAAGTACTGACCTGTTCTAATAATGTGAGTGGACTTAGACTTAGGCTTAGACTTGGGCTTAAACAAACTTTATTAACAATATAATACAAAAACAAAGTAAAAATATTAAAATATAACATATAAAAATGTTACGTAAGGATGAGTTGTTGTACAGTTGTACGAAGTATTATCTGTTACATAAGGGCGAGTTGTTGTACAGTTGTAGGGAGTATTATCTATTACATAAGGGTGAGTCGTGTACAGTTGTAGGGAGTATTATCTGTTACATAAGGGCGAGTTGTTGCACAGTTGTAGGGAGTATTATCTGTTACATAAGGCGCGTTGTTGTCCAGTTGTAGGGAGTATTATCTGTTACATAAGAGTGAGTTGTTGTACAGTTGTAGGGAGTATTATTTGTCACATAAGGGCGAGTTGTTGTACAGTTGTAGGGAGTATTATCTGTTACATAAGGCTGAGTCATTGTACAGTTGTAGGGAGTATTATCTGTTACATAAGGCAGAGTCATTGTACAGTTGTAGGGAGTATTGTCTGTTACTTAAGGGTGAGTTGTACAGTTGTAGGGAGTATTATCTGTGACATAAGGCTGAGTCGTCGTTGTAATCTTGTATTTTGTGTTTTGCAGTTACGTGCGCGTGGCGGTGCTGCCGTGTATCGGGACCAGCCGGTGTCTATTCAGAACCTGCGCTGCTTTGCCTCAAGAAATCACGGAGTTTAACGAAGTGTTCGGGATGCAGATCTCCCACAGTGCACTGCGGCAGAAAACGCTACGAGTCGACATCTGCCATACGAGCAAAACGGGACGAGAGGAGGTTTTGGTAATGATCTTGTTTAATACTTTTTGACTTTTGAGAGCGTTTCTGTAATTAGACTTTGACAGATTTTATTGATCCACAAGGAAAATTATTTGGACACAGCAGCTCACACGTCACAATGAAATATAATAACAAAGAAAGAAAATATAAACGGTAATCATAATAATTTAATGGTAATGACTAGAGCATTTGTATTCCCTGTGCAGACGGGCGCTCAGATCAGCCTGGCAGATCTCAGCTGTTCAGAGGAGAGGAGCACGAAGTGGTACAACCTCCTGAGTCACTCCTTCGACATGAACTCCAAAGACAAAGAGGGCGCTGTGACCCACGGAGATCAGGTAAAGACTATAAATGGTTCAGCTTGCACAGAACAGAGCAGCTGGACTGGCTTTGAACAGTTCTTGGTATTAAATATGTTTTGAACCAAGTTATGAATGTATTGGATTTGATATGGTTTAGGATTACTGTATTTTTCAGACTATAAGTCGCTCCGGAGTATAAGTCGCACCAGCCAAAAAATGCGTAATGAAGAAGAAAAAAACATATATAAGTTGCACTTTTAGACATATGACATGTCATCTTGAAAGGCAAGTTCTAGTAATAACAATAGAACAGAGAACAACAGACTCTTAACTAGAGATGTAATAATAACCAAAATATTGTGATATCGTATTGTCAAAGTTCTCACAATAATATCGTGGACCCTGACAATATATCGAATTACAAGTCTTTTTGCTTAAATTAAGAGTTGCGGTGCAGAAATAGCGAAAAAAAGACAGAGGGAACTACATAGACCATGATCCTTTGCTCCATTTCAGTGCAGACTACATGAAGAAATAACAGTTTTAAGCACTTTTAAGTCTTAGTTCTTTGGATTAAGTCTTGTCAAGGAGTTTCAAGAGGAAAAGGGGACAATAAATATCATAATGTGAGGTTCATACCGTGATGATATCCTATTGTGAGACTTGGATATTGTTACACCCCTACTGTTAACGTCACATATGAACAGTTCTTCAGATAAACTATAACATAAACAACAGAACAGAACAAGTTTACCAAACTCTCCATCTCACTCCAAATCACTAAATCCATTGAATTTTTCATCCTCGGTGTCACTTCTGAGCAACTGCACGACCTCCGGAGGTAAACAGAGCACTGCTTCCTCTTCTGTGTAGCTGTCGTCAGACTCAGCATCAGTTCCAGTTAGAATTATTCCGGTCTTTCTGATTCCCGACAGGATGGATTCGGTTTTCATTGAAGTTCAGGCTTTGTCGATCCATCCAGTGACTTCCAGGAAATTTGCATGACTCACACTCTCTGTTACCATGAAGCTGTGTTCTCCATCCCCGCTTTCCGCCAGTCCCTCACAAGTTTCTCGGTCACTCCAAACTTTCATTCTGCTGCTATATTACCATTTTCAGCTGCATCAGGACACATGCAGGAGACATGTGCAGTAGAGTGAAGCGACAGTGGTACAGGAGTAATAGGAGCAGCAGACACTGACACACAAGCCTAGAGGGCCCTCTCGCTCCTGTCAGTGTGAAAACTTTAATATATAAGTGGCACCGGAGTGTAAGTTGCAGGAAACATCCAAACCATAAAAAAAAGTGCGACTTATAGCCCGAAAAATATGGTGTATGGTGAAATATTTAATCTTATGTTGAAAGGTATTTATTAATTTTGTTTTAAGAAAATTTTCATATGTTGGTATATTTATCAATTTTGTATTACTGTAATTATTTAAATGTAATTATCTTATTTGGACCCCAGGAAGAAAAGCATCAGCTTGTCTGCCCTAAAGGAGATTCTATTATTAAACAATAAACGATGTTAAACGTCGATGTAAAACATACTTTTGTTCACTTCCTCCTTTTGTTTCTTTCAGAGCCGTGTTTCCAGCGAAAGAAGTAGAGCTCCAGATGAAGAGGAATGGTCAGTTGTAATTTTAGATTTGTTTGTCATATAATCTTATTCCACAGGCAGTGAAAATTCCAATTTCCGTGTTAATACTGAATAATGCATAAGTATCACAGTCACCAGCAACAATTTTTCAGTTCAGGCTCCAGAAAATGCTTTTTGTTTTGTTTTTTTCTTGAGTTTTCAGACTTGCAACTTTTTACAACTTTTTTTTTTTTTTTTTTGTCAGTATTTGCTAATGTGTGCACTGTGTAAACATGGTAACTAATGAAGATCACGTAGAACACCCCCAGCATAATGGTGATATGTGCTGGGGCACATGCAAAAATCTGCAATAAAAAAATAAAAAGATAAATAAAATAAGTAAAAATAAAGATAAAGATAATAAAATAAAAATTATAATTAAAAATAATAAGAAAATATAAAATAAAAAATAAATAAATAAAAATAAAACAAAATAAAATAATATAAAATAATATAATATAATGGAAAAAGATAAATAAATAACATAATTTAAAGGTGACTTGCTTTTCTCCAAGGAGATGTTATTGCTTAATCTGGAATGTTTCACAGTATGGCATTAAACTTTTCTAACTTCATGGAGACCAAACCAGACAAGGTTACAGGCCAGGTCTGTGGAGATGCAACCCTCACTTACAGAATGCCTACTTTACTTTTACTATTTGAAGTATTTTTGAGCTATAAAACCATCTGTAATTAAATACATGTAAGGTGGAGCTGTTTAATACCATACTGTGGAACATTCCAAGTAGAGCAATGACACATCCATAGAAACAAGCTGATGACGAAGCCCCAACCAAAAAGTTAGATACGGTAGTGCACCTTTAAACCACACTTCTAATTGGTTTGTTCAGTTCTTTTCTAATTATTTAAGAAAGAAGAACAAATATCTCTTAAACACTGTGTCCTTTTCTGTTACTGGAGTAGAGTAAATATTTGAGTACACGGAGAATGCGGCCGGACCGGTTCACAGTTTTAAATACACTCACACGTTACATTTTTTTCACCTGAGCTAGGCCCCACCCTGTTGCCTCAGTAAGCCCCGCCCCCTTCACACCTGTCCGGCTCCAGTAACAGAAACCGACTGTCTGAGAAACATGGGAATTTTTTTTTTGAAGAGACATGAGATTGGTTTTGTGTTGTAATGTTGTTTCTTCTTCACAAACAGACTTGGAGTTGTGTTTTGTTTCATTCACTCATGTTTAACGCACAAACCTGCACATTTAGCCTTCTTTTCTCAAATTCAGTACAGGAAGTGCTCCACAAACTCAATACACCTTCACTAGAATCATTTGGATAAGTTGGATAAGACCTGGAATTGCTCATCTCTACTTAACTAAAGTCTAACTAAATGAAAGTCTAAACCAAGACTAAACCAGGATTAAGCCATGACTGAACCATGACTGAACCAGGACTAAACCAGGACTAAACGATGTCTAAACCAGGACTAAACCAGGACTAAGCCATGTCTACACCAGGACTGAACCAGGACTGAACCAGGACTGAACCAAGAATAAACCGGGACTAAAACAGGACGAAACCAGGACTAAAACAGGACTAAAACAGGTCTAAACCAGGACTGAACATTGACTAAACCAGGACTAAAACAGGACTAAACCAGGACTAAACCAGGACTAAACCAGGACTAAAACAGGACTAAAACAGGACTAAATCAGGACTAAACCAGGACTAAACCAGGACTAAACCAGGACTGAACTAGGACTGAACCGGGTTTAAACCGGGACTAAATCGGGACTAAACCAGGTCTAAACCAGGTCTAAAACCAGGTCTAAAACAGGACTGAACCAGGACTAAACCAGGTCTAAAACAGGTCTAAACCAGGACTGAACATTGACTAAACCGGGATTAAAACAGGACTAAAACAGGACTAAACCAGGTCTAAACAATGTCTAAAACAGGACGACTAAACCAACCAAAACCAAGACTAACACGACTAAACCAGGACTGAACCAGGACTGAACCAGGACTGAACCAGGACTGAACCAGGACTAAACCAGGACTAAACCAGGACTAAACCAGGACTAAACCAGGACTAAACCAGGTATAAAACAGGACTAATCTTGGACTTGAGAGCGAGAGAGAAAACCCGTGAGCCCATGGAGCAGGGTGTCTGCAAAACGCAATCGGGCGATGGCTGCGTTTTGCCCCGTGGGGCGCGGAGCTCTGCGTCGGTTCTTTCTCCTGCGGTCACCCGACGGTCTACACAGGTGCAGCTTCGGGCCCGTGCCGACACTCAGTCCTGGTTCAGTTCTGGTTTAGTCCTGGTTTAGTCCTTGTTTAGACCTGGATTAGTCCTTGTTTAGTACTGGTTAAGTCCTGGTTCAGATCACTATAGGACATGGTCATTGCCAGTAGCTCTGGTTTGACATTTAAGTTGTAGCTATTTTATATTTGTTATTTTTTTATATCTCACGTCGGGGAAAGTGGGTGGACATCGTTTCCCCTTGAACTACGCCCATTACAACCCTGCTCAAACATACGTAGATGAAACAAAACACAACTTCAGGCATGTTTTTGATGAGGAAACAACATTATAACATGATTTAAAGCTCACAAGAATCAATTTTCTGTAATATCTGTACTTTAAACTAAAGTATCGGCAAATATCTGATTATTTTTGGTCAAATTTGAAAGTGGATTAGCCAAGGGTGTTCAGAATTCAGCGCACAGTGAGCTCACCTGTTTTGTTTTTTTGCTTCCAGGCCCGATGAAGATATTTTCGAGGATGAAGGAGGAGGCGGAGAGGCAGAGGAAAGAGCAGAAGAAGAGGAGGAGGAGGATGAAGAGTTTTACCCTGAGGATGATGGTCCCTTCACAGAGACTGAACCGGAGAAAGCAAACACCAGACCTGCCCCTAAGCCTCCTGCGAACATCACCGAGAAGGTAACACCATAAAACTGAACGGGGTTAGGTTTATATTAGGGCTGGGAATCGCTTGCCTGAGCAGATAGTCTCTTATATTCTGTTCGAATCCAGACCATAGAGCGTGAAAAACCTCTCCAAATTTTAGATGATCCACCCACAGCCGCCAATATAAACTTCTTTTACCTGAGATAAATAGTAGTTTGGTGCTTTGATTGTTGATTTTGTTCAAGTCTGCTCTGTTTCTCAATCACCGGAATCATGTAGAATGGGTTAATACTAGGGCAGTTTCGATACTGATACCAGTATTGGCAAAAGCTTTGATACCGCGCATTTTTTCAGGTATCGGTATCGGCTTGTACTCAGACCAAATCACTGATCTGATTCCGCTCTGCATTTTCCAGTAAATCGAAGCAGCCGCTGTTGCAGTGCAAATTTCTCTGATCTGGCCAAGATTTTAAAACTTGTATCAGGTTATTCACTTACTAGACCAGAGACGGCTTAATTGTGGACTAGAGGTCGTTTATTTTAAGATAACTTGTCAAGTAAAATTATCTTGCGGTATGGATATATAATTTCACTACTTTTAAACTCAAGACCCAAGCTTTTGTCTGGTGTGCATTTTTTATTTCTCCTTGCTATTTGGGATAAGTAGGACCTAATAGTTATCAAAACTAAACCACTTAAATTAACTTTTTACAACTGTAAACTCTAGGTCATAAACCGGTCTTGGTCTCGAGACCAGCCTCAAGACCGCTTTCTTACAGTCTTGGTCTCGTTTTGGACTTTAGCACGTTTGGACTCTGGCTTGTCCGGTCTTGATGGAGCTTGATCTTGATCTTGTCTCGGTCTCGACCCTCAGAGGTCTTGCTCTTGTCCTGATCTTGGGACTTGTGGTCTCAGACTGATCTTGGTCTCGATTAGTGCGGTCTTGACTACAACACCAGTAAACTCATTCCCAAGTTCAACTAACAATATGGTACAATCAATAACATTATAGTCCCAATGTCCTCAAACGAGGACATTTACTGATGCTCTAGTCTGCCATGATGACTAAAATGTGTCAAAATTTAATGCCATACGAAAATAGAGACACTATTGTACATAAATACATTTGTTTCATTCATAAAATTTGGATATAAACTTTACCTTGCTGTTTTTTGTTATGGGAGCTGCTGTAGAAGATTTTTGTTGATATTCCCTCCATTTTCTTTCACTGAAATTGATGTAATGTTGTGATATCACCAGAATATGGTGCGGGCAGTGTCCCTCAATGTGGTATGGTGCTAAGAGGCAAAAATGTAATGTCCTCGTATGAGGGAAAGGGTCTCAAGAGTCATTTTCTGATAGATTTGAGTGTTTATATCTTAAATTTTGTCCAGGCTTTTTTGCAGTGTGACATCTGTGACTTATGCTCCTGTTAACACCCAGAGCAGGTTAAATACAGGATGTGGAAGCTCTGCAGACACTTAAAACAGGCTGATAATAACAGGAATGATATTTGTGTTTCCTTTTTGATACCTTCATTTAGCCTTTGGGGTGGATACTGAACAGTAAAATAACTGCAGAGAGTGCAGCCCACAACACTTCTAACTCCGATTCTGTTTACTCTGCATAATTAGCCATGTGCTCTAAGAGTGAGCGTCTTTTTATGGACGTCACTGTTGTTTTAATTTGTGTTCTGTGGAAGAAAGTGACCAAGTAGAAAAGTAAAAATGCTTAAATAAGCACTACTTATGTTCAAGAGCATTATACATTTAACTAATACTTCATTCCTCAGAATGTAATTTATTCTTGCAGATTTTTTTTTTTTTAGAGCCTTTTAGAAGATTTATTTTTTGGGGGGGCTAAGTTCTTCAATGGAGGCGCTCACTTAACGTGTTTATTTAAACTTTAAATGTAGTTGGCCCTGTAGTGATTTATAAAACGTAATAGGCAATTACTGTTTTAATGTAGTCTCATTTTGAGCACTTTGTCATTGTGGTTGCAATTTGAACATCACGGGAATCTGCTGCAGGTGAACAAGGAGACCAGTGTGGATGGTCTGCTCTCCTCTCACGCTGTGGTCCGGCCCAAAGAGCGCCGCCCAGATCTGCCCCAGAACCAGAACCAGATGAGCTTTCTCAGAGGCAACACCATTATCCGCTCCAAAACCTTCTCCCCCGGGCCCCAGAGCCAGTACATCTGCAGGGTAAGAATCTGTAATATTTGTGTTTTTATTCAGTGTAAATGTTTGTACTTAACGGGCAATGTTTTTCAGATAAACCGGAGTGACAGTGACTCATCCACTTTGTCGAAAAAATCTCCTTTTGTGAGAAATGCCTCCGAGAGACGCAGCATGAGGATGAAGAAGGTACAGATAAATATATAGTTTCTATTCACATTATCTCAGTAACTCAGCTGGTAGAGCGGTAGTTTGTCCACTGATCTGAAGGTTGGCGGTTCAAATCCTGCTCTTGACATAAACATCATTGGTTGTGTGGTCACAACCGCTGACCCACAGGTTGGCGGTGCGATTCCAGCTCCCACAGATGAATGCTGCTGCTGTTCTCTGTTTGTGAACACTGGTGCATGAATGTGTGTGTGAACGGGTGACTGGTTGATGTAAAGAGAGTGTCTTGAATGTTTAAAAGCACTATATATGTAAAAATTTACCATTTACCGTATTTTTTGGGCTACAAGTTGCATGTTTTTTCATGGTTTGGATGGTCCTGCAACTTATATATTAAAATTTTCACACTGATGGCCGCGAGAGGCTCTAGTCTTGTGTGTTAGTATCTGCTGCTCCTGTTCCTCCTGGACCACTGTCACTTCACTTTATTGCACATGTCTCCTGCAGAAGAAAGAAAAAGAGTTCTGTCCTGTCTGTATCATGTCAGTCGATCGCACCATTACTTCTGTAACACTGAAAATCTTAAATTTAAGTGACTTCAGTGACACCGAAACCACTTTGTTGGGATTCAGAAAGGTCGGAATAATTCTAACTGGAACTGATGCTGAGTCTGACGACAGCTACACAGAAGAGGAAGCGTCGCTCTGTTTACCTCCGGAGGTCATGGAGTTGCTCAGAAGTGACAGCCTGATTCTTCAGCTAGTTTCACTTCTTAGAAACTGTCTGACCTCGCAGCATTAGAATTCATTCGCTCGACGGTAGGCGGGTACATTTTATCATTTAACCAATCGCTGCTATTTGGTAGTCACGTATGTAATGCGCCACTAACGGGGCTAACTGGTATATTAGGCTTTTCCCAAATCCCAAAGGAAGAAGGACAAGAACGTCTTTCCCCTTGATGAAATTCACCAAACATTCTCTTTATTCTGGCTTTAAATCCTCGATCTTGGGAGTCGTTGACAACACTGAATATATGTCTCTTCACTGATTGGCTGGTGCCCGAATTTGCACTTCTGGGGTTTTTGCGAACCGTCTATCATTGTATTCTGATTTCTGAGCAAGTTGCTGGAGAGAAATAACATTGAGCGGAAGCACTAGGTGGCATCAGTCTGGCTACAGAAGTGACACCGAGGATGAAGAATTGAATGGATTTAGTGATTTGGAGTGAGATGAAGAGTTTGGTAAACTTGTTCTGTTCTGTTGTTTATGCTATAGTTATCTGAAGAACTGTTCATATGTGACATTAACAGTCTGTTGTTCTCTGTTCTGTTGTTGTTACTAGAACTTGCTTTTCAAGATGAAACATCAGTTCCTGGTCTCTGATTTTATAAAATACATTTCCCCTAAAAAGTGCGACTTATATATGTTTTTTCTCTTCTTGATTACGCATTTTTTGGCTGGTGTGACTTATACTCCGGAGCAACTACAGCATTTCCCGTTATAATTTTGCTTTTCTTACAGTCACACGATGGCCAGTGTAGTTGCCATGACCACCGTATCATATCAGTGCTTTAGTGTTTGGTCTTATCTCTGTGTTTTTAGCCCGCGGTGGTGGTGAAGCCCCTGGACGGCCTCCTCCGCACCTCTTTGGACTTGGAGCTGGACCTGCAGGTGACCCGGACACGGCAGGCGCGCTTGACCCAGGAGCTACGCGTGCTGAGGGAGCTGAAGAGCCAGCTGGAGAGGGCGAGGCAGGAGGGCCAGAGAGAACTCCCCCTATGGGTGAGAGAGGACGAGCGCTTCAGGCTGCTGCTGCAACAGGCCGAGAAACAGGTACGGATCGTGTGAGGTTGTACGATAAGGCTGAGACATTTCTCTGATGCTGTTTTGTGGTTTAGACTCGTGAGGAGCAGCGTCAGGAGCAGAGAGTGGAGAAGATGATGAGAGCTGCAGCGAAAGACGTCAACAAGATGAGAGTCCAGAGTCGGAAGGAGGTCCCAGAGATGCAGACCTTCAGGTACAAGAACAAACCCTGACATGGCGCTGTATATAAACCATGAAAACAAGAAGTGAAGTGCTGTATCAGAGTGGTCTGTTTGTTTAGGTTATAAAACTTTATTTATCCCTGAAGGGCAATTCTGTTCGCAGTCACAGATCGCAGCATAAAAACCTCACACATCCATCAGTTCACACAGTGCAGGAGATCGTACAATATGAGATTACATCATACAATATCAGAGCTGAGTGTAAATGAGGCATAAAGTACTAATGTGGCTCAAAGTGTAAAGGCCAAATACAGCACAGAACAACATTAAAAACAATAAAAGATTTAACAAAAACTCTTGGCTATGCCTCTTACACCTCTGTGTTTTGGAGACGAATGGCAGAGGGAATAGACCTTTTTCACAACGGCCGGAAGTGCCGTGATGTAGGGTAAACATCACTTATGTTAATGCTTTTCTACGGCAAAATATCTGTGGAAATGTCTCGCGTATTTTCCACCAGCTTCATAAATCTGCCCCATCCCCAAATCTTCATCCAACAAGGTCGACAAAGGATAAACATGAAGAATTTATCCACAACTGTGAATGCAAGAAAGACAAAAATGTAAAGGAGAACAATGACTAACATTGGTGAACTACTCCTGGGCAAAACTAACATTATGGTCATGAATAAAACATAAGTAACTTGTTAACTCAGACTGATTCTAGAAATAAAATAAAAAATTGATTTCATGATGTCGATATTATCATAGGCACAGAGATTTGTGCAGTTTGAATACTACAGATGTTCACAGATTATATGTCTAGCATTTAAACTGCAAAACTTTCTCTCGCTTTTAATTTGAAATGTAGAATCAGTCGGAGTTAACATGTTACTTAAGTTTTATTCATGACCATAAGGTTAGTTTTGCTCAGGAGTAGTTCACTAATGCCAGTCGTTGTTCGCTTTTCCGTATTCTTCTTTCTTACCTTGATAGTTGTCAATAAATTCTTCATGGACAGAGTATTTCCTTTGTCGACCTTGTTGGATGAAGATTTGGTGATGGCAGATTTATGAAGCTGGTGGAAAATACGTGAGATATTTCAACAGATATTTCTCCATACAAAACCATTAACCCGAGGTTCTGCAAACCTACAGCGCAGCACTTCTGGCCAATGTGAAAAAAGCCTATGAAGGGATTTGCAAATCTATTTATTTTCCTGCTGGGGGCAAGGTAGCTCCTCCCTGTGGGCATCAGGGAGAACCTCTCCCTTTAAAAAAAGAAGTGTAAGGCATTATTTTTTTTTAAAAGATATAGAGCTCTGGAATTAATGAATTATGCATTAGATTTAGTTTTAATGTATATTTTGTCTCATATATATATATATATATATATATATATATATATATATATATATATATATATATATACATACACACACACACATATATACATATCACACACACATATATACATACACACACACACATATATACATACACATACACACATATATACATACACATACACACACACACAGTAAGTTGTAAGTGAAATTGTAAACGCAAACTTGCTGTTCATACGCTGCTTTTTTTTCTTGGAAATCTGTCATTGTTTATAAGTACTTTTTACTTCATCCTAAACCAGGGGTGTCCAAACGTTTTTCATCAAGGGCCACATATCTAAACACAGATGAAGCAGAGGCTGATCAAGGGTCGTAAACTGGAGCTCAATACAGTGAATAATTGAAATTTGTGCATATTTAACAAGTTAGAACGAGCCATCAGTCTTTATTCATGCTAAGATCTTTAAAACCACACACTAAATATTAAATATTAGCTTTATCAAGGTAGATTTTAAAAAAAAAAAAAAAACTTGCAGTAAAAAGTTTATTTTTAATTGATTTAAGGTCATTTGGGCCAATTCACCTGGAAGCCTGAGGGCCAAGAAAAATTTGTCTGAGGGCCGCTTTTGGTCCACGGGCCATAGTTTGGACATACTAAACCCTTTCAGTCATGGTCCATGGGGTTGTAGTCTATGTTTTGTTTTGTAGTGCTGCTAAATGACCAAACAAAAACTACTAATACAACCTTCCTCTTGTTTTTCAGGGAGAAGATGGCGTTTTTCACTCGCTCTAAATCCACAATCCCGGATCTACCTGCAGACGACGTTTGAGAGGCACATTTCAAAGTATTTCTGCGCTTGCTCCTCCTCTCCCTCCTCCTCATCCTCCTCCTCCTGCTGCTGCTGCTGCTGCGTTCAGATGAAGCAAACATGGCGGTGTTATGAAGTTGTACAGGAATCATGATCTACGTTATAGCGTTTAGCACTCTTAGGCCTGCCTCATGTCGTCTCCTCTGTTTCTCTCTGTCGTTTTAATGGCGTTACTGTTACTAACACACCGTCTGTAGGCGCTTTTAGACTTTTTGAATCATTCCAGTACGTATCCAGTCTTTCGAATCGTATGAAGGATTAATATTTTCAAAACCATGGTACTGGATTAACCAAGAAAACACCACATATTTATATCTGTAGAGACAACAGCACAAGAAAAAAGATCTGATAATATTTCAGTTTCTGTAGGCTACAAAAACTATTGTATTGTGTATATAGAGCCCTCCACAAATAGTAGCAACGAAATGCTGTAAAAGTATAATTATTTTAACTTTTGTACTTATGTTTCTAGATAAAAAAGTAATTAACTAGTGTCTGAGCAATTCTACCAAAACTTCTTTTTTTTTTTTTTTTTTTAATGGCCACTGAACTTATAGTACTTGTTAAGGTTGAAAAATATTCTCACGAACATTTTTTTTTCTTTTCACGATAAAAAAAACAGCTTAAAAGTTGAATATACTTAATTTGTTCGATTCTCACATGTATTTTTGGTGTTTCAAATATATTTTATATCAAAATTTAAAGGTCCTACATTATGCAAAATTGCCTCTTTGGGAGTTTAGTCATGTTCTAATGTCGTTAAAGCTTCAAAAACTAAAAACAGACCTGGAGTTGTGTTTCGTTTCATTCACACACTCCTTTTATTATTAGTTTGTCTACATCTCGAAAGCTCAAAATGCTCTCTTCCACCTTGTGAGGTCGTGAAGTGGTAGTTTTTAAGTTATAACAGCCATGTTTTACACAAAAAATTGCAATTCCAGGGATGAAATTATATAAAGTGGAGTGTATGGAGTTTAAAAACGCAGTGGAGCACTTCCTGTATTACCCCATGACATCACAAGGTGGAGCAGCGTGTTTTCCGTTCTGTTTGCGATGAGGAAACGACATTATAACTTGACTTAAATCGTCCGAAGAGTCAACGTTTGTGTAATAAAGACGCTTTTTGAATGAAAATATATTAATTCACAAACTGGATTTCACGGTTTTTAAATGTTATCCACTGCCTCAGTAAGAATGTAGAAAATAGCACTACTAAGTCACTCAGGTGGAGCTGCACTTTACACAACTGGAAATGTAGAAATGGAAAAACGTGGGGTGTAAATCTTCTGTCGAGTCAAAGTCAACTGTGAATTATCGTCAGCCTCAGCCAATAGAAACTCATCAGGAACAACTACGCTTTGGTGTAATTGTGGAGGTATTTATACATATATATTTTTTTAACAATTTTAACAATTATCTTTTAATATACAGGATGTTTAGATTGGTATTGCCATGGAAACCCAACAAAAGGAGTTTAAGACTTACACGAAATTGTCTCTTGTGAGCTGTAAGTCGTGTTATAATGATGTTACCTCCTCACAAACAAATCTGGAGTTGTGTTTTGTTGTGTTTTTTTCTATGCATACATCTTTGAGTAACCCTTTATTATTAGTCTCAGGGTTCCCGCAGTCATGGAAATCCTAGAAAAGTCATGGAAATTTGTAAATTCAATGAAATTTTTAGAAAAGTCATTGAATTTTTGTTCATTTATCATTAGACTGCTACACAACACGTTTGGATCAGTTTTGTCTTATTTTATTTTTGTTTAAAGGAATTAAAGGATATTTTTAGTCTCCGTGCTGTCTCAGTCAGTATCGGGTATCGGCAGATATTTGAACAGTTTTCCCACAGTCTTGAAAATCCTGGAAAAAGTCATGGAAATTTGTAAATTTAATGAAAGTTTTGGAAAAGTCGTGGAATTTTAGTATCCCTTTTCACTCTAAGTATCTCCCTCACACAACTACAGCGTTCTGTTACGTTATTATTATGATTATGTGACAGTAAATGCACTGACAGTATTTTGAATGATAAAAAACTATAATCCCAAACCATAAGGTGAGTGGAAAGGGTTAACATTTCATATTTATCCCCAAAAGTCTGATCAATTCTACACATGTAGGTGCCGTACAGTCATGGAAAATTCACTTTAGGTCATGAAAAAGCCATGGAAAAGTTTTGAAATTTTGAAAAAGAGTGGGAACCCTGTAGTCTCTCTCTTCGTGATGTCTTGAAGCAGTAGTTTAGATTTACATTCGGTTCAGTACAGAAAAGTCATGGGAATTGAAAATGTCATTTCCCGGGCCTGGAAAAGTCATTGAATTTTAGTATCTCTTTTCAATTTTAGTATCTGTTTCACGCAACTACAGCGTTCAGTTAAGTTCTCATTAGGTTATTATGATTATTTCCAAACATATGCGCCTTTTGTTTTAAAAGAAACAACAATAAATGCACTGACAGTATTTTGAATGTTAAAAACTATAATACCAAACCATAAGGTGAGTGGAAAGGGTTAACATTTCATATTTAGCCCTAAAGTCTGATCAGAACACATTATAGTGCTGTATAGTCATGGAAAATTCACATTAGTTAAAATTTTGAAAAAGAGTGGGAACCCTGTAGTCTCCAAACCTCAAACTTCTCTGTTCCACCTCGTTTAGATTTACATTTTAGTTCGGTACAAAGTGGCAATTCCAGGACTCTGATCGCCCAAATGATTCTAGTGAAGGTGTGTGGAGTTTAAAAACACAATGGAGCACTTACAGTATTGCCGCATGACATCACAAGGTGGAGCAGAGTGGGTATTTTTATCATTTGAGAGAAGAACTCAGCCTAAATATACAGGGTTTGTGCATTAATTAAACACGTGTGAATGAAACAACAATAAACACAACTCCAGGTCCAGTTTGTGACGAGGAAACGACTTTATAACACAGATCAGAAAATAGCGTAACATGAGCCCCTTTAAGTATTGTGGAATTACTGAGTTATTCATAAATTTTTCATGGCTGAATTCAGAAGCGAGTTTGTTTTCTGATTGTGCTTTCAGTCACGACTCCGCTGTTTCCACGGTAACCCTCTGGAGCGCGTCAGCTGCAGACCTTGGCTTTTCACTTTTCTGACATGTTTATTGAGTTTGGTAAAAGAAAAAAAATTGCGGCGTTAACGTTTTCCATTCGGTGTCTGGCTTCACTGGAAGGAAACTCGCTCGCTCACTAATTCACATAAAAACTGTATTTTCTCTCCGTGAACTTCACACATTTTTGATACAGAAGACACAAAATAATCTTGTTTTTTAGTCATTTTTTCCAGAGAGATGTAAAAGTCAAGCACAAAAATGGTCAAACCTTCAATGGTCAATCCTTACGCTTAAAGGAACTGTATGAAACTGCTCTATTTTGATTTTAAATTTCCCAAACTTGCCCTGTCCCTGTCCCCAGATACATGTTTTAATCAAGTATAGTTTTTACTGATAACCTAAAAACCTAAATAAGAAACTAAATAAAAACCTAAAAGAATTCTCTCATCCAAATGCTAATGACAATGAAAAAACTTTGCGTCTATCTGCAGGTTAAAGAACGTAATTCTCTAATTTCTACTCAATTTGATGGTATAAATATTGTATTTTTGTAAATATAAATTATCGTTTTACACCAATATAGGAAGTAGAGCAGCGGTTTCCAACCCAAAGTCCTGCACAGGTCCATTTTTAGAGACCCACACCCGCCCATTAACTTGTGATTATATCAAAGTTAAACCTGTTCACATTCCACCCGTTACCACTCGTGATAAATCACACACACATTAATATCATTCCAACTGAAGCATCCATCAGAATACGAATTGAAAAGTTACGATTTCAAGAATTACAATCACGAAATGAAATAAAACGGTTACACTTTCTTCAGTATGACCACGAATTCAGACGCGACTCGACTGTCAAAAACCCGTCATCACTTCACAGGCAGAAGAAACATCGATCGAGATGCTGGACTTTTGCTCCACATACGCCACGGACTGAACCAGGACTGAACTAGGACTAAACCAGGACTAATCTAGGACTAACCTAGGACTGATTCCAGGACTAAAACAGGACTAAAACAGGACTAAAACAGGTCTAAAACAGGACCAAAACAAGGACTAAAACAGGACCAAAACAGGACCAAAACAAGGACTAAAACAGGTCTAAGTCAGGTCTAAGTCAGGTCTAAGTCAGGTCTAAGTCAGGTCTAAGTCAGGTCTAAGTCAGGTCTAAGTCAGGTCTAAGTCAGGACTAAACCAGGACTAAACCAGGACTAAACCAGGACTAAACCGGTTAAACTACTCCATTGGATTGTAAAGGAGCTCAACGAGAAAAAAGGTTGGAGACCCCTGAAGTAGTGAGTTCTGTCCATCCAAAAGTTCAACGCAATTTATGGAAACACATTTTTTCTACTCTAAACCATGATTCAAACAAAATAGAGGTGTTTTCTTCTATTTTCACTTCTCAAATAATAATCTCTGTGTACGTCAGAGGAGTTTTGGCCCAGTCTACTACATGGTTGCTAGGTAACAGCTGTCATATCCTGCCAAGTAAAATTTTAATCCTAGAAAATGGCCAAACCGGGAAAAATAACTGTAATTTTTTCCTGTAAAATCTTAAATTTATTGTCTTAACTGTAGTCAGATGAGTACTCGAAGCTGTCATAGGCGTTTTAAAGCTTTGGCAACCCAATTGAGTTGTGTTTGTAATATGTTTTTTAAATAACTATAAGAGTGCAGTGCGTAAAATTCCTCAGTCGTCCAGGTAAAATCCAGATTCCTCCTTTTCCATATGAGTGCGGGATACATACAGTTCCTTTAAGAGAAAACAAATGATCAATAACATAAAAAACCTAAAACATATCTCCTCTTTACAACATTTTTATTTTTGACCAAGGGTTTAGCTCTTATAATATGTAAAAACAACATCAGAATGTGTGTCAAAATCAAGGTTAAAGGTGCATTGTGTAACTTTTTGGTTGGGTTCACTTGCTCGTTTCTGTGGATATGTCACAGCTCTACTTGGAATGTTCCACAGTGTGACATTAAACAGCTCTACCTTACATTTACTAAATTACAAACAGTTTTATAGCTCAAAAAATACCTAGAAAAACAGGCATGACCTGTAACTTGGTCTGGTTTGGTCTCCATGACGAAAAAGCATTTGACGAACCTTCTACCAGAAAAGTTACACAATGCACCTTTAAGAGAAAACAAATAACCAGTATGAAACATGAAACATATCACCGCTTTACCACACTGACTCAAAAGGATTTAACTCAAAAAGTGTGTCAAAATCAAGGTTAAAGGTGCATTGTGTAACTTTTTGGTAGGGTTCCCTTGCTTGTTTCTATGGAAATGTCATTGCTCTGCCTGGAATGTTCCATAGTATGACATTAAACAGCTCTACTTTACATTTATTAAATTACAAATGGTTTATAGCTCAAAAATAGCCATAAAATCAGATATTCGGACTGTGAGCGGGCTTGCCTCTCCACAGATCTGACCTGTAACTTGGTCTGGTTTGGTATCCATGGAGAAAAAGCATTTGTTTGACCCTCTACCGGAAAAGTTACACAATGCACCTTTAAGAGAATACAAATAACCAGTACGAAACATGAAACATATCTCCGCTTTACCACACTGACTCAAAAGGATTTAACTCAAAAAGTGTCAAAATCAAGGTTAAAGGTTGCTTTTGTTTTACTCACATTTTCGCGTTTGTAGTAGGGATGGGACGAGACGCAATTTTCACAAGACGAGACGAGATTTTCACATAATTTGTAATAAATAAAAACAACGTAGTGCGGTCCATTTCACAATTTTGGCTTCACTATTTTTATTTATTTTATGTAATACTTTAGTGGTCATTGTATTCTGCTTTTTTGGACTACAGCTTCTCAAATTGTACCAGCTCTTAACTCTTTTTCTGTCCAAGTCAAAGGTAAAAATTCAGGAGGAAAGATACATTTTTTTTCTCATGTGCGTACGATCTTTCGGCAAATTTTGTCTCACGAGATCTTGTCCCATTCCTAGTATGTAGTATTTTGTGCCTTTTCCAAGTTCGCTTCTTTCATTTCGTTGCGTCATTATCCGCAAAAACTGGAAATAACTCCGCAGTTACGACATTTTATCACAAAAATGTTGCTCTTTCCACTTTTTACTAGACTTTTACTTGAAAAATTTAACACTACGTAGAGTCAAATGACCATCTCAATCACGTCGAGACTCAAATGAAGGATTGTAGCTGATAAATAGTCAAAATATAAAATGCTGGTAGTCTCATATGATTATTTTTTCATTGCGTAGGATGTGATGTAATAATAATTTTGTTGTTTTTTGTTATTAAGTGCATTTTTCAGTTTTATTTTTCTAATCTGAGAAACTGGAGGAGGCTTGGACAACAGGAAGCATGTATTTATTGCACTTTGTGATTTGGGTGTTGCGTTTCCTTGTTATGTTTTTTTTTTTTTTTTTTTTTCCTCTCTTCTTTTTGACAGTCCTCCCAAAAGCTGTGAATTATTTTCTCCGATGTTGTTCTGTCGACCAGAGTTGTAAATATTTCACCAGCACAGAATAAAAACAGACGTTATGTTTTATAGTTTCACAACAAATAAAAAAGGTCTTCTCTTCTAAGTTTTCTTGTGTTTTGTTTTTCTTTTTACTACACATTGTCCAGTTAAAGCTGGACTAACTTTTCAGGTGGAGGGTCCGGCAGATGCTTTTCTACATGGAGATGTTATTGCTTTGTCTGGAATGTTCCACAGTATGGCATTAAATGTACCGTATTTTCCGCACTATAGGGTGCTCTGGATTATAAAGCGCACTGTCATTGAATGGTCTATTTTCAAACTTTTTTCACATATAAACCGCACCAGATTACAAGGCGCATTAAACGAAACACAACAGTTCGATAAGTCAGTCACACTTTATTTAACGCATTCACAATAACTCTGAACTTTATTCAGTTGTAACGCGTAAAAAAAAAATACTGTCTGAGATGCTAAATTGTTCGTGTATTCACAATAACTCATAATTGTTCAGTTATAACTAAAATATCACATTACACTCACTTTTTCAATTCATTCCTCGTCCACAAATTCCTTAAATTCTTCATCTTCAGTGTCCGAGTTAAACAGTTGGGCGATTACGACGTCCAGCACGCCCTCATCCCTCTCGTCATTATCTCAGTCAGTGTGGTTACTGTTCCCTGCAGTTCAGTGATGATTCCGGTCTTGGTGAAAGCTCGGACCACAGTTGATACTGATCCTTAGCCCAGGCGTCCACGATCCGTTGGCAGATCGTGGTGTAAGTCGCTCGGTGTGTTCTCCTTCTCTCACCCACTGCTCCCACGCAGCTCGCACTTTCACTTTATAACAGCCTTGAGTTTAAAGTCGGCGTTGTAAGCGTGTCTCTTGACAGGTGCATTTTGATATTAAAAGGAATCACAGTATGTATTACTCCTGATGCTCCTGTCTATGGGAGCCGTAATGCTGCAAGTGGTGCGGCTTTGTAGTTTACTAAAGTCGTACTAAGACACCCCAATAAATTCATATATAAGGCGCTCTGGATTATAAGGCGTGCAGTCGTTTTTTGATTAAATGAAAGGCTTTTAAGTGCCTGTCTGTGCATTTTTGGGTTATAAAACCATGGGTAATTGAAGTAAATGTTAATGTAGAGCCGTTTAAAGTCACACTGTGGCACATTCCAGGCAGAGCAATGACATATCCACTGAAACAAGTAGGCGGCAGATTCCCAGCCAAAAATTTACACAGTGTGTTTTTAACTTTACATAGACACAGCAGACTTTGACTGGATGTGGATTTATTATTACACACAACACTTTGACTTTGAGACACTGTAAACGCCCCCTGCTGGAGACTGGACGTGTTTTCGGGTGGATCTAAGTTTCATGTTGTTTCTTCAGCTCTTCTGTTTTATGGGTAAGTGAGCATCTGTGTTGTTGTTAAATAATTACATAGTTGGCACTAGTTATGTGTTGTTACGTGTGTGTCACTATGTTACGTGCTGCTGGTCATGACTATGGAGGCGTGACCAGCACCGCCCCATCAGGTCACAACCGTTCCAGAAGCTTTGGAAGATGGTACCTCCAGTTTTGGACCATTAAAAGGCGGCGGTACAGATTGCTTTACGCAGTGGGAACACTCAAGATCTGCTCAGTTTCGTCCCGTACCAGCCTTATGGAAATGAGGCTAAAGAGCACCTTTAATGTTTCTTGTGTAAAAAGTTATATTATTATATTTTGAGACTATTAGGTCTGTTTTAGTTTTAGCAGGTTCAGTCTAACATTCAATAAAATAAAAGTCAAAAACACTCAGCCGTCCAATGAAAAGTTTGAAAATGAAATGTTTAATTACATTTTATCGAAGGGGACAGTACATAAAGTATATTCAGTTCTGCTTCATATGAATAATACAATGAAATAATATCACAGTTGTTCTATCAGAGACATATAGGTCTGAAAAACTGACGGAGGTTTAATTCTCTTGCTTAATTTTGTTGAGATATTAATATTAGATACAGAAAAAAAAAAATAAATGGGGAAGGGAATTTTGCACTGTGTAAATGTTCCGTTATTGCTAAAAAAAAAAAAAAACATAATTTTTTCATACTTTATTTTTTAAGCTTTAAGAAAAAAAGCACTTTGTATACAAAACATAATCTTAAAATACATTTACAAAAAAATACACACACAATAATAAAAAAAAATTAATAAATAAAAAAGATGACAGTAATAATAGTAATAGTTTTGTCATTACCCTTATCATCCTTTAAAATAAATAAATAAAACCTTGATAAACTTGCATTCTTGAGCGAGCAGGGCCGCCTCTCCAAAGACCTGATGTGTACCTCTGGTGGTGTTACCTCCTTGTCTTCATGAAGATAAATGAATGAATGTCGTATTCTGGAACATTCCAAGCAAAGCAATCACATACGAGTAAGCCAAACAGGTGTCAGACCCTCCCCCAGAAGTTATAGTGCACCTTAACATAGAAAAAAAAAGATTATAATTGAAGGTGAACTGTGCAGCTTTTTTTTTACTATGCTGGTTTCCATGGAGATATTATTGCTTTGCCTGAAATTTGAAATGTTTCACAGTATGGCATTAAACTCTTAAAATCTATGTTGCATTTATTCAATTACTTATTCAAAAATACTACTAAAAGTGGGTTGTTGTGGAAAAAGCAATAACATTTTCATGAAGATCACCTTTAATGTTAAAAAGTAAGTAAGTAAAAAAGAAAGAAAGTAAAGTAAGTAAATAAATAGATAAATAAAAAAAAAACATAAATAAAAATAAATACATAAATAAATCTTGGGTCTTGTTCTCAAGTGAGAGGAGGACAGAACGTGAGATTGACAGGCGGATCGGTGCAGCATCTGCAGTGATGCGGTCGCTGTATCAGATCGTTGTGGTGAAGCGGGAGCTGAGCCAAAAGGCGAAGCTCTTGATTTACCGGTCAATCTTCGTTCCTACTCTCACCTATGGTCATGAGCTCTGGGTAATGACCGAAAGGACGAGATCGCGGATACAAGCGCTCGAAATGAGTTTCCTTCGCAGGGTGGCTGGGCGCTCCCTTACAGATAGGGTGAGGAGCTCAGTCACACGGGAGGAGCTCGGAGTAGAGCCGCTGCTCCTCCACGTCGAGAGGAGCCAGTTGAGGTGGCTCGGGCATCTGTTCCGGATGCCTCCTGGACGCCTCCCTCGGGAGATGTTCTGGGCATGTCCCACTGGGAGGAGGCCCCAGGGAAGACCCAGGACACGCTGGAGGGACTATGTCTCTCGGCTGGCTTGGGAACGTCTCGGGGTCGCCCCGGAGGAGCTAGAGCAAGTGTCTGGGGTGAAGGAAGTCTGGGAGTCTCTGCTTAGACTGCTGCCCCCGCGACCCGGCCCCGGATAAGCGGAAGAAAATGGATGGATGGACATAAATAAATACTAAAACAAATTCACAATGTGCACTACTACGCATAATAAATTAGTTCTTTATTTTCTTTAAGATTTTGTCAGTATTTCTTTTGAAAAACTACAACTACCATGTTCGCGGCTCTAAAAACTACAAATGGAACTCCGATGACGTAGCGATACCGGAAGTGTATCCAAAGTTGACGCGAAGCTCTTCCGCCTTTCACCGGAGTTTGTTTCATCAGCCACGAGTTTCCGCTCCGCCGGCTCCACACTTCAACCACGAAGCTTTTCAGATCATCCAGGACCTGTCCCCGGAGTCCAGAGCCATGGGAGACCCGCTGACCGAGTGCCACAGCCGGCTGGAGCAGCAGGTACCCGCCCGCTGAGCCCGGAGACCCCGCTAACACCCGCTAGCACCCGGCGTGACTAGTGACAGAGCGGACGTCATTACAGAAACGACAAAATTAGAACATCTTGTTACATTAATACACATTCTTATGTTCTCTCTGTAATGTTTATAATGATTGAATATGAGTACACACTATTTTTTAATTCGGGTTGTAAAAATGGCGTTATGTTTTGAGTTTAATAGCCATTTTGTGACATATTTACAATGAGAAGCAGCGCAGGTACATTAACAAAACTGAAGTGAAGTGAATTTTGTCAATGATACAAACATTATTACTCCAACAAACCGTGCTTAAGCACATCAGATGTAAAGCCGTACTATGTAACTTTACAGGAGAGTTAATATAAATTTAAGTTGTATAGGAGACCATAAGATTATTATATAACCCTGTAATCTAGAGAAGTTAATGTAAAAGTGAAAATGCAATGCAAAAATTCTCGGAGTTTTTATATTATTGGTGCACAAAGGCAATAATTTGATCACAGTAGCTCACAAGTGACAAAAATGAATAGTTTTTAGTAAGAAACTGCAAAAAGAACTGTGGCAAAACATTAAAAATATAATAAATATTAGGTGGGTCAAGGTCAAATTTTAATGCTGGTAAATAATCAATTCTGATACCATCACAACATTCTTTAGTCCTATAATATTTAAAACTGATTTTTGTAGATCTACAGTCTTGATCAGGTTCAATATTTATGATTTTTCCTTTTGAATATTTCATGCATAGTACAGTTTAAAGGTCCTAAAATTACTCTCCTGAGCTTTAAGTCATGTTATAATGTTGTTACCTCCTTAAAAACATACCAGGAGTTGCAGGATGAAGAGGTAGAGTGCTTCACTGGGTCATAAAAGAGTTAAAAATGGCAGTATAGGTGCTCCACGGGGGTTAAAACGGTATTCTTTAAACAGAAGGTTGCCCTTACTAGAAAATATAAAAGTGGGCAAGGTACAAACCTGAGGCACTCCGACTGAATATATTAAAAGTCCTTTATTGCGTGAAGGGACCCCAATGGGTTTCAACCAGCAAGATAGTCTTCCTCAGGGCAAAGTGGTCCATCTTGCTGATCGAAACGTGTTGGCGTCCCTTCATGTAATAAAGGACTTTTAATATATTCATACCTGGAGTTGTCTTTTGTTTCATTCACACATTGAGCAACCCTTTATTATTAGTCTGTCTACATCTCCAAAGCTCAAAATGTTCTGTTCCACCTTGTGAGGTCATGAAGCTACCTTTTTCATTTAGATCAGCAGAGCTTGGCAATTCCAGGGCTAAAAATAGCCAAATGAAATCTAGTGAAGGTGTGTGGAGTGTAAAGAGCAATGGCTTTTAACCAAACAAACCTGTACACATTAGTCTGTCCTGTATGAATGCAACAATATGAACTGTAAATATGTAAATAGTGTTTGGATGTGATGACCGAGACTTGAATGGGACTATAGTTTTACTTATTGATTGACTGGATGAATGATTGCATCACTACACATTGTATTGTATTTTATTGGCATGTGTACCATTTATGACATCAGCCTGTCCAGAGATTGAAGGTGGAAATCAACAATTTTGCTATAACCTATCACAAACATATGACCTCTTTGTGTAGCTCAATGTTTTTATGTGCATTGTCCCTGATAAATAAACTAAACTAAAAACATAGAAGCACTAATAGCACATGACATCACAAGGTGTAACAAAGTTTTTTCTGTTTGAGAATAGAACTCAGTCTAAATCTGCAGGGTTTGTGTGTTAAACATGTGAATGAAACAAAACACAACAACTCCAGGTCTGTTTGTGATGATGAAACAACATTATAACAGATCAGAAAATAGCGTAATATGAAGTATTTTAAAACATATGGTGGGGCCAAAATGAATATGAATTTTCCTTTAGGGTGTGTACAATCCTTCAGTCATCCAGGTAGAATTCATAGCAAAAGGAGAAATTAAAATTGTCAACTGGACAAAAGTTCCCGAACTGAAGAAGCAGCTTGGATGAGCTGCTAAACGTATTAAACTTTTATCCAGTTGACAAATTGATTTTCTCCTTTGCCTTTCCTTTAGGGTATTTCATGCAAAGTACAGTTTAATAAACAGGAAAACTGTCTCTCGCTCCCCAATTGAAAACCACCAATACAGTGCTAAGTCGCTGTTGGTAGAATCCACCTTAAATATGCCACTTTCTTAATAATTACATGTACAATTCAAACATCGCTATACATGAAATAGTTATTACTGCACATGTACAGTAATAACTCAAAGAAACAAGCTTTTTTTCAGCTTTTAATTTGGTTCCTTTTAACTCTGAATTTATTTACCATTTAGATTTGGTTAAAGGTGCATTGTGTAACTTTTCTTAGCTTTTCTTCATGGAGATGTTATTGCTTTGTCTGGAATGTTTCACAGTATGACATTAAGACCAAACCAGACCAAGATACAGGTCAGATCTATGGAGAGTCAACCCCACGTACAGTCAGAATGCCTGTTTTTTCTAGGTATTTTTGAGCTCTAAAACCACTTGTAATTGAATAAATGTAAGGTAGAGCTGTTTCATGTCATACTGTGGAACATTCCCGGCAGAGCAATGACATATCCATAGAAAAAAGAAGGTGACAGATGCCCAATAAAAAAGTTACACAGTGAATCTTAAGGCAAATGTTGGTTGAGTTGTTTTTTGTGAATTGAAAATCTAAGTAGAGCACATGACGATCCTTGGACTTTGCATCATATTTATTGTAGTTACAGTTTGGTTCCTGTTGTGTTGTGTAAGATTGCTTCAGGCTAAGTGGGACCACAGTAATAATATGACTGTAAATTATTGACATTGTGCTATTTGTCTACAATAATTGTTTAATCCTGAAATTCATTCTTTTGAAGGCTCATATTTGATCTGTTATGATGCTTTTTTTTGGTTTTCTATTCACAAACAAACCAGGAGTTGTGTTTTGTTTCATTCACACATGTTTATTTAACACACAAACCCTGCATATTTAGGCTCTGTTCAACCTTGTGATGTCACGTGGTGATGAACATACTAGTAATGTAGGTTTACTCAACATGTGAATGAAACAAAACACAACTCCAGATTTGTTTTTGAGGAAATAACAGCATTATAAAGTGACTTAAAGCTCACGATAGTCAATCTTGCATAATATAGAACCTTTAAATAAGTGTTCTTTAAACTATTTTAGTATAAAAATGTCCCATGTTCACTGTATCTGATCACATTTCCTCTCCATCTTGCATCACATTCACTTTTCGTTTCATTATGATGCCTGTAATCTCATTCAAAGTCCCTCCTCCTTCTTTTTCAGAAATCAAACATTTACTCAAGATCAGATCATTTTGTCCAGTGACTGTAACTGGGAAAGCTGTGAGGTTTAGTAGCTGAATTTAGTTTTTTGTTTTTTATAGGAAAAGGAGATAAAACGTTTGTCTGCTGAGATTGAAAGCATAAAGAATCCTAAAAATTTGGACCCAACTGCCCGATTAGACGAACTGCGAGAAGAAAACGCCAAACTGAAATATCGCCTCAACATCCTCAAGAGGGTGAGTATCATTCTGCTCTTTTACTTGATTGATTGGTTTGTTTTTATTTCGAGTTTGTGCCAAGAAAGAAAAAAATAATCATAAACACATTACGTGTATATTGTAAACAACAGAAAGGCACAGTTCTCGAAAAGGATTTGGAAGAAGAAAACCTCTTAACCTACTCCAATTTCATGTGTACATCCATGTCTTTGTACAGTAACACAGAGAGAACATGCACAATTCACTCAGAGAGATCAGGAGTAAACAGGAACCAAACCTCACCAGAGGAGATCAGGAGACACTCAGAGATAACTACTCAGCCAGAATTTATTTTTACTTTACATAACATAATAAACTTCAGATAAAATGCCATAACTCAAATAACTCAAATTGTGATTGATCAGGTCCTACATTGCACAAAATTGACTCGTGTGAGCTTTAAATCATGTTATAATGTTGTTACCTCACCAAAAACAGACCTGGAGTTGTGTTTTGTTTCATTCACGCATGTTTTAAAAATCCTTTATTATTAGTCTGTCCACATCTCCAGAGTTACAAAGCAAAGTTAACTGCTCCTTTTGTTCAGTAGAGATTGGTTATTCCAGGGCTGAACTTATCCAAATGATTCTAGTGAAGGTGTGTGGAGTGTGGAGACATGGCACTTCTGCAAATCCTGTATTATCACATGACATCACAAGGTGTTTTCAGTTTGAGAGAAGAACTCAGCCTAAATATACAGGGTTTGTGTGTTAAACAAGTGTGAATGAAACAAAACACAATTCCAGGTACAACATTATAACAGATCAGATATGGGCCCTTTTAAAAAGAGGAGTTAGTTGAGTTTTTAAAAAGCCAGACAGATATAGCGTAATTTGACTTTTAAAGACCAAACCTTTGATGAATTTCAGGATTAGACAATTATTGTAGACAAATAGCACAATGTCAATAATTTACAGTCATATTATTACTGTGGTCCCATTTAGGCTGATGCAATCTTGCACGACAGAGCAGGAACAAATGTAAAACTCACTGAAACTATATGAAAGGAACCAAACATGGAAAGGCTCTTACTGAAAATGATCAGAATTGGTATGAAAAATCTAACTTTTGTTAAATTGTCATGGCCATACCAGCTTGTCAAAACCTGATCCCATCAAATCTCATAAGCAGGACCAGGCCTGGTACTAACTTGAATGGGAGACTTTTGGGAAAATCAGGTGCCACAGGGGGGCGACAGTTGTAAAAACTGTCATTGTGTCCTTAGGCAAAGCCCTTCACCCACATTGCCTAGTATGAAAGTGATGTGTGTGTGAGTGATGGTGGTGGTCGGAGGGGCCGATGGCTCTGATTAGCAGCCTCGCTTCCATCAGTCTGCCCCAGGGCAGCTGTGGCTACAATAGTAGCTTATCACCACCAGGTATGGAGTGAATGAATAATGCTCTGTAAAGCGTCTTTGTGTGTCCAAAAAAGTACTATATAAAACTGAGGCATTATGATTATTATTAAATCTTGTTGAGAGAAAAGCACAGGTATCATCTATGTTCACCAGTGCACAAAGCTCTTACCTTCTGCACATTGTTCAGTAATAAATTAGTGCTGCATAATTCACATCGTATGACTGTAAGTCTGTATTTCTGCTTAAATAGGCTAAAGGACATCTGTCAGTTTGTATGCAGGGTTTGTGTGTTAAACATGCAAATGAAACAAAACACAACTCCAGGTCTGTTTGTGACGAGGAAACATTATAACATAGAACAGAAAACAATGTAATATAAGCAGTTTGTACTAAAAACTTCTACCTATGATCAGCTGGGCCAATGCATAAGACTTAGACGAACTTTATTGATCCACAAGGGAAATTATTTGGACACAGTAGCTCACACATCACAATATAATATAATAACAAAGAGCAAAAATATAAATGGTAATAATAAATTCGAAATAAGCTAAACAAAATAGGATGAGACTAGTGTCAAATAAGGTGTAATAATGTTATATAAGTGTATGAAGAAGTAAAAATACTGTAATTTCAAAAGCCATATCTGTCCTCTATCTCTGTAGTTATTGTTGTGTCTCTCCAGTCTCTCCAGGAGTCGCCCCCTTCCTCCCTCACTCCACTCTCTGATTCCAAAGCCATGCTCAACATAAACCAGCGTCTGCAGCAGATCTTCGGCAGGGCCATCTCAGCGGCGTACCCAGAGATCGAGGGCCCTCCTGTGGCCGTCACTCCCACTAATCAGGCCAAGTTTGGAGACTACCAGTGCAACAGCGTCATGGCCATGTACCAGGTAAATGTGGTCACTTAGATCCAGATTCTGTTCACATTTGACCTGTTTGGTCCTGAATTAGTCCCAGTTTAGTCCTGGAATACAATGTGCTGCTAGTAAATGTCTTGGTCACTTTTCAGCAGATTTTTCTTATTTACTGATCACATTTTTGTTAATTTTTACAATTTGATGCTTTTCTTTCTTCCAGATGCTGAAGGCTAAAGGCGCCAAAGTGAATCCTGTAGAAATAGCAGAAAAAGTTGTGAAAAATCTCCCGGACAACGAGCTCATTGAGAAAACGGAGATCGCCAGACAAGGTTCACACTTGACACTCAGACATGACCTGACAAACCTGGATTGTAAAAGCCTCCGTACGCGCGAAACGAAATCAGAAATGTTTGTACACAGCTCGTCTTTAAAATGATTTATTAGAAACAACGTGAACGTGAAACAAGGCGGACCTCCAAAGTCTGGAGCGAGGAAAGTACAGAGGAGTCATGAGGGGAGAAAGTTTGAGAAAGTCATGTTTGGTGGAAGTTTGAAACAGTTCATTTTTACTTTATTTTACCAGAAAAAGACACAGAATCAAACTGAGCCGTGAACATTTAGTCACAAGAGTGTGGGAAACTTACACAATTTGTGATCTGTAGAGGGAATAACGGTGTGTAAGCGCATGCAGCTCTTATTTTTAAATGACTAGATAACAGGATACGTCTGTGTTAGAATGTTTTTTCTGAGAAGAAGAGTTAACTTTTTCTCTGAAATTTCACACTCCTGTGTCTTCCTCCTTACCCCTGTGTGTCAATCAGTCAATCAAACCCGCTCATTATCAACTCATGTTTAGGTAAATCTCATTCAGGACTCACTTTGCATTGTTCTGTTTGGTGAAATAGAGGCGTTAACGGGTCGTGACGTGTGGCGGGAGGGAAGTGCTGCGGAGGCTTTATTAATGTTTTGCGTCTACGTCACAAAAGCGTGTGACCTGTTGTTTATTCCGCCAAATTGGAGGTGAAACTATTTATCTGGACCAATGTGTAGTATTTGTGTGCGATAAAATAAGAAAGATGCACTGTGCATTTTTCACTTTCCCGGCACAGAATCTCCCCCTCAGCCCGGGATACGTAGCTACGGTTCTCGTTTTGACCTCCATTCTACTTACCCTGGCTGTTATCAACAAAGATCTCATGTATCCCTTGACAAAATATTTATAAGCCTCTAACCCCTTGTGACTTTTCAGTTCTTGGTTGGTGTAGGACGATGTCGAATGAATTAAGTAGTTATAAATATCTGGATATTGGAGGTCGGGCACAGAGAGAGCGCTGATTAGACTGACAAAGCGGTCTGTCGGAATCAAATAGGGATCTATTCCACAACCCAGGAGGATGACTTTAACATTATCTCTTTCTAATGACGGCTGATCTAATGAGCTGGCAATTTCGGACAGTTTCATGTTGCTTGCTCTCTTTAAAGTAGCCATGATTATATTGTAGTAACTGAATAACACCTTCCGGATAAACCCCAACCTTGACCTCCAGTATGGCCGCAAAAGCGTCAAGTCACGCGCAAATCCTTAATGTATCCCAATAATTTTTCTTGTAAATTCATTAGTATTGAAATAGAGAGTGAACTTTTAGTATCGTTATATCACTATAAAACTCTAACTCCTTATATGTTTGCAGGTTTCATTAATATCCACTTGAAGCGCTCCTTTGTGTCGCAGCTGCTCAGTAAACTGCTGGTGAATGGAGTCCAGCCTCCGCCCCTGTCCAAGAAGAAAAAGGTACGTGAGCATTTCCTTCTCTACTCATCAGAAATCATCAGAAAAAGGCACTGAACCTGAACTTGGTCTGGTCAAATATGAGTCTATGTCAGTGGCAAAGTGAAGGTTCTCCAAAAACAAACTCTGAGTTTTTTTGTGTTCGTCTCGTTCAGGTGGTGGTGGACTTCTCTTCTCCAAACATCGCCAAAGAGATGCACGTGGGCCACCTGCGCTCTACCATCATCGGAGACAGCATGTGCCGCCTCTTTGAGTTCCTTGGATATGAAGTGCTCAGGTTTGAGAAGAATTATATCACTTCACTTTAACATTGATTCACATAGTTTAGTGTGATTTAGTTGTCAGATGGTCCACGTGATGTACGGGAGGAAGGATGGTCCATGTGGCGTGTGGGAGGGGGGTTCGCTCTTTCACGGCCCAGTATTGGTCACCTACTCGGCAGTTGGAGACCCCTGACTTAAAGAACTTACCAAACCAAAAACTATAACCAAACAAAAGTAAGAGTGAACTACTTATTGTTATTGCTTCATCTGGAATGTTTCACAGTATGGCATTAAACACTTTCTGTTTTTATGGAGCTTAAACCAGACCAAGTTACTGGTCAGATCTGTGGACAGACAACTCCACTCACAGTCAGAATCAACCAAAAGAGTTACCTTGAAGAATGCAAATAATATTGGTTTCTTTATCTTCTCACTTCATCTCGTTCCAGACTGAACCATGTTGGAGACTGGGGCACTCAGTTCGGAATGCTCATCGCTCACCTCCAGGACAAGTTTCCTGATTACCTCACTACCTCTCCACCAATCAGTGACCTGCAGGCGTTCTACAAGGTCAGGAAAGTTACACAGTGCAGCTTTAAGGATAATGTTCAAAAGTGACAGATCCAAAATAAAACCAAAAATAAGAAAACGGAAAAACAACTATTTTCTTCATTATTTGTCTCCAAAACCGAAAAGGAAAAAACAGATAATGATTTGTTTTTTTCAGTTTTTGATTTTGTGTTTAAATGAATAATGGAAAAAACGGATAATGGCCGTTTCCTGTGAACCAGGACTAAAACAGGACTAAACCGTTTTCAGTCCTGGTCTGGTCCGGTCTCGGTCCTGGTCTGGTTTCGGTCTCTGTCCTCCGTCTAAGTCCCCGTCTAAGTCCCCGTCTAAGTCCCCGTCTAAGTCCCCGTCTAAGTCCCCGTCTAAGTCCCCGCCTAAGTCCCCGTCTAAGTCCCCGCCTAAGTCCCCCCTAAGTCCCCGCCTAAGTCCCCGCCTAGGCCCCAGTCTAGGCCTAGGTCCCAGTCTAGGCCTAGGCCTAGGTCCCAGTCTAGGCCTAGGCCCAGGTCCCAGTCTAGGCCCGGACGTGGTTCAGTCCTGGTTCAGTCTACAAAAGTTCGGCATCGCAGTTTAAACGGGAAATGGCCGTTATCAGGTTTTTCCATGATTAATTTAAACACAAAATTGAAACGAATGAACAAATGATACACAGCCTGATCGTTTCTCTCTCTCTCTGGTCTCATAAAAAAAACATTTGTTGTGAAAAATATGAACTAAAATGCGTGTGGCGTCTCTGTAGGAGTCAAAGAAGCGTTTTGATGAAGAGGAGGACTTCAAGAAGAGGGCGTATCAGTGCGTGGTACGACTGCAGAGCAAAGAGCCAGACTTCATCAAGGCCTGGAACCTGATCTGTGACGTGTCCCGAAGAGGTAACCACCAACGAGGGCTGTGCCAAAAATTAAAAGATTGATAGGCCATGATCTCGATGATATGCCGTTTTAATTGATAGATCAACAACCAATCATGTGGCAGTAAGAGCGCGTGGAGCTGACGAGGGTTTTACGGAAAAGCATCAGCTTGAGCCACAGTGCGTCCCTTTGTTTCCTCAAGTGTTTACAAGTTTGGACTTAAATTTGCACAATTTAGCTGAAAGTCCAGTGTCTCTCTCGCTCTTCGTCTATGTCTGTGTGAGTCTGTGTCTGTGTGTGAGTCTGTGAGTATCTATGTGTGAGTCTGTGTGCGTGTATCTATGTGTGAGTGTGCCTCTGTGTGTGTCTCTGTCTCTGTGTGCCTCTGTTTGTGCGTCTGTGTCTGTGTGTGAGTCTGTGTGACTGTGCCTCTGTGTGTGCCTGTGTGTGTGTGTGTGTATGGTTTTCTGTTTCTGTGTGTCTCTGTTTCTGTGTGTGTCTCTGTCTCTGTGTGTGCGCCTGTGTCTGTCTCTGTGTGTGTCTATGTCTGTCTCTGTGTGTGTCTGTCTTTGTGTCTGTCTCTGTGTGTGTCTGTCTCTGTGTGTGTGTGTCTGTCTCTGTGTGTGTCTATGTCTGTCTCTGTGTGTGTCTGTTTCTTTGTGTCTGTCTCTGTGTGTGTCTGTCTCTGTGTCTGTGTGTCTGTCTCTGTGTGTGTGTGTGTCTGTGTCTTTGTCTGTTTCTCTGTGTCTGTCTCTGTGTGTGTTTCTGTGTGTCTCTGTATGTGTGTGCCTCTCTGTGTGTGTGTGCGCCTCTTTGTGTCAGTGTGTGCCTTTGTGTCTTTGTGTGTGTGGTGCCATCTGTCCCCGCTCACCGTCCCTGTCTCTCATCCCGCCGCAGCTCCTCACCTTTTCTCCTCTTTCTTTCCTCTGGTGCTTCTTTATAATCCAAGTTTTAAAAAGTAAAGTAAGTAAAGTAAACGACCTCATCATTTAAATGTGAATTTCTTCGGAATTATTGGTCCTATCAACACAAAATAAAAACTAAAGTGATCCTGACACGCTGCTCTTGCCTGCCGTCCACATGTCATGAAGAACAAATCGAAAATCAAGATGGATCAATATGGAGGAAAAAAAAATCATGATTCTTTTTTTTAACCCCCATATTGCTCAACCCTCACTCCAAACTAGAGCTGTAGGCCTGTAGTCCTTTAGTCGATTAAATTGTGATAATTTTATTTAAATTATAGGGATTTATGTGGGTCGACAGTAGAAAGGAAGTGGGTGATTTTGTAATTTTTATATTAATTATATGTAAAAAGGCAACTTAAACTCATGATTTACAAGTTGAATCTTTATATAAATACATTGTTCTTGTGAGCTCTTAGTTAAGTTATTACGGTGTTTTCTCCTCAAACACAGACCTGGAGTTATGTTTTGTTTCATTCACATATTTTTGAGTAAACTTCTACATCTCCAAAGCTCAAAATGCCTGTGTGGTAATTTTCAAGTTATCAGCTCCTTTTACTTTTAGTTCAGGAGAGATTGGCAATTCAAGGCCTGAACTTTGCCAAATAATTCTAGTGAAGGTGTATGGAAGTGCTCCATTTTGTTCTTCAAGCCGAGTTTTGTCTTTTATTTATGCATTTGTTCTGTTTTTTGTGTTGTAGAGTTTCAGAGAGTGTACGACTGTCTGGACATAAAGCTCATCGAGAGAGGAGAGAGTTACTACCAGGAGATGATGACGGAGGTGGTCAAGGAGTTCGAGGAGAGAGGTCTGTGTTCATCTCAACTAAATCTCAAATTACACTAGACACTGGAGTATTACTCTCAATACTAGGGTTGCACCGATTCAATACTGGTATTGAGATATTTGCAGCGATACAGAAAAATTTGCTGGCTCAGATATTGGCTTCCAAATATCGAGTCAGACAATATCCTGACTGGACATATAAATTGATGTATTAAGATTATTTCCTGCTCATAGTTGGCCCAGAAAGTCTCATAGTGTGTAAACTTTGATTTATACAAATCTGTTCTATAGTTAACGTATTTTCCGGACTATTGTTGCACCTGAATATAAGCTGCATCAACTAAATTTTAACAAAATTTTTTATTTCTAACTATAAAGGCCACACCTGAAAATAATCCCCAAGTGTCCACGTCTTCAAGAACGTTTTCAAATTTGGGCCATCTGGTTTTCTTGCCTCTGAAAGCTTTTGTCGTCTTTTTGCGTTGAGTCAGTTTGTCAAGCTGCCGTCGCCAAAATCTCACCATCGACTCACTGATGCCGAGTTCACGTGCAGCTGCTCTGTCTCGTTCTTCCACAGCCACATCAATCATCTTCAACTTAAAAGCTGCATCATCTGCATTTCTTCGTGTGTTTTCCATGAGGAGGGTGTGTGTATGAAGCGCAAAATAACTTTTCAAAACACAATCAAACGAGCATCTTCTTTGGCGCATCACCCCTGTCTCTTCCCGTGCTCTACTGCACATGTCTCCAGCAGAAAGAGCCTCTGTTCTGTCTGTATCATGTCAGTGTCTTGTACAGTATTTTTCAGCGAACCCTAGATCCACGTGTAACCGCAGACAGCAGCGTTTTCTGCACTCAGGCTGTACGTATCCGCTGTGTTTACAAACCATAGACTGTATATATGAATGGACAATGTGCCAATCAAAGAATCCGTCCATATATGAGCTGCATCGTTTTATAAGACAGGGTTCAAAGTAGGAGAAAAAAGTAGCGACCTCTAGGCCAGAAATTACGGTGCTTGAGAGATAAATAACTGCTACACAACACATTTGAGTCAGTCTTCTCTTATTGTATTTTTGTTTAAAGGAATTAAATGCTCTGCTCTGTGTCAGTCGATATCGTGTATTGGCAGATATTTGAAGCTATAATATCCAAATTGGTATCGTAAATGAAACAGCTGGATTGGTGCATCCCTCCCTACTAACAGGAATTGTATGAAATTGATTCTGTAGTGACTAAATGCATCCACTTGGGGGCAGACTTGTGCTGCATTATTTCTGTTTTTCGTCTGCTGCATCAAATCAGCAGGAAATGTTCGTAACTTCAACATTATAACCCGACACTTCATATTGTATTATATGTTTTATTATTAAACACTGAAGGAATTTCCAATAATCTGTGGAGATTTCAGTAAAAAAGTAAAACCACAAGCGCCTCAGTTCAGGTGTTTGGGCTGTAGACATGACAGTGCTTCCCATTCACAGAGGAGACTATGGTGCCTTCCCAGAGTCAAATATTTGCTAGTATATTATATTATTTGATTTTAATAGTTTTATTGTCTTAATTAGGACTAGAGGAGTTAAATAGAGCTTTATTTTATATTTCCATTGTATTGTTTTATCTGTATTGTGCTGTTTGTTTATGAAATTGCTAGTTTTCAGACGACATCACCACATTCTATAGGACAATATTATTTAATGAGGTGAGGTGAGATGAGGGACTGCAAAAACTAACATTGTTAAGTGTATTGTATATGTTTTTGTTGTAGTACAGTGAGTTCAGGGGTGTAATAGGCTTGTGTGTCAATATCTGCTGCTCCTATTACTCCTGTACCACTGTCACATGGCTCTACTGCGCATGTCTCCTGCAGAAAGAGCCTCTGTCCTGTCTGTATCATGTCAGTTGATCGCACCATTACTTCTGTACCAATTTAAACAAACTTATGAAGACGACTGAGAAGACTGAACACTAATGCCCCCAAAAAGAAAATCATATTTTGCAGATAAGCTGCAAGCAGTGAAATCTGCAGCCGGAAACGATAATCGAGCAGCAGAAAGAAAATCTTGAGTGAGCGAGAAACTTGTGACACCGAGATGGTGCACCATGCAACTGTCCTGGAAGTCACTAGATGGATGGACAAAGTCTAGACTTCAGTGACACCGAAACCATCCTGTCGGGATTCAGAAAGGCCCGAATAATTCTAACTGGATGAAGAATGATTTGGAGTGAGATGGAGAGTTTGTTAAACTTGTTCTGTTCTGTTGTTTATGTTATAGTTTATCTGAAGAACTGTTCATATGTGACGTTAACAGTCTGTTGTTCAGTTTTATTCTTCTTCATCATGCATGTTTTTGGCTGCTGTGATTTATACTCTAGAGCGACTTATAGTCTGACAAATACAGTACCTTTTTTATATTTCATTGCAAACTGCTCCATCTGGGACTATGACATTATCACATTAGCAAATCTGAAAACCACCAGTATAAATGACGTGGATAACTGGATTACTGTGTTGTGCTGATACTGATGCTGATTGTTGGTTCCAGGTTTCGTGGAGCTGGACGAGGGCCGTAAGATCGTGTTTGCGACGGGTCATTCCGTACCGCTCACCGTGGTCAAATCAGACGGAGGATACACCTACGACACCTCAGACCTCGCCGCCATCAGGAACAGACTCTTCGACGAGAAAGCGGACATCATCATCTACGTGACGGACAGCGGGCAGGTGAGCGACGTCATCTGTGTAACACCTACGAACACGATATAAGACCAGTGAAGGGCTCATATTAAAGGTGCATTGTGAAACTTTTCTGCTGGAGGGTCTGTCAAGTGCTTGGTAGCAAAACTTCTTCATGGAGACCAAACCAGACCAAGGTACAGGTCAGATCTGTGGAGAGGCGACCCCACAGTCAGAATCCCTGTTTTTCTAGGTATTTTTGAGCTATAAAACCACCTGTAATTGAATAAATGTAAAGTAGAGCTGTTTAATGTCACACTGTGGAACATTCCAGGCAGAGCAATGACATGTCCATAGAAACAAGCAGGTGACGGACCCCAATTCAAAAAAGTTACATAGTGCGCCTTTAAGTAGTTTCTTTTTAATGTTGTTTCATCGTCACAAACAGACCTGGAGTTGTTTTGTTTTATTCACACAAATCCTGCACATTTAGGTGCCAAGTTCTTCTCTCAAACAGAAAACACTCTGTTCCACCTTGTGATGTCATAGTGTTGTAGTCAAGACCGCACTAATCGAGATCAAGACCTGTACGAGAACACAGGGTCCCGAGACCAGGACAAGACCAAGACCTCTGAGGGTTGAGACCGATAGAAGACCGAGACCTCTGAGGGTTGAGACTGAGACAAGACCGAGACCTCTGAGGGTTGAGACTGAGACAAGACCGAGACCTCTGAGGGTTGAGACCGAGACAAGACCGAGACCTCTGAGGGTTGAGACCGAGACAAGACCGAGACCTCTGAGGGTTGAGACCGAGACAAGACCGAGACCTCTGAGGGTTGAGACCGAGACAAGACCGAGACCTCTGAGGTTGAGACCGAGACAAGACCGAGACCTCTGAGGTTGAGACCGAGAGACGAGACCTCTTGAGACCGAGACAAGACCGAGACCTCTGAGGGTTGAGACCGAAACAAGATCGAGACCTCTGAGGGTTGAGACCGAAACAAGATCGAGACCTCTGAGGATTGAGACCGAGACAAGACCGCAACAAGACCGCGACAAGACCGAGACTTTTTAAGGTCAAAACCGAGACAAGACCGAGACCACAGCCCATCAAGACCAAATCGAGACCATCTTTGTAATTTTTTACATTTATTTGTATTTTACAGTTATTTTATCACATATATATAAATGTTTTTATAAATCTATCTCCATTTTATCACTCGTCGAGCGTCAGACCTCGAAACCGAGATTAGACCGAGTCCAAGCACCTTCAAGACCGAGACAAAACTGAGTCCAAACGCCTTCAAGTTCAAGACCGAGACGAGAACGAGACAAGAGTGAGACTACGTACCTTCAAGTCCGAGACGAGACAGAGTCCAAACGCGGTTGAGTCTGAGAGGAGATCAAGACCGTAAAAAGCGGTCTCAAGTGCTACAACACTATGATGTCATGTGGTAATACAGGAAGTGCTCCACTGTGTTTTTAAACTCCACACACCTTCAAAATCATTTTATCACTAGAATTGCCAAACTCTATTGAACTAGAGGTAAAAGGAGCTGTTAACCCTTCCAGACTTGTTTTATATAACTGTGCATAACTTTCCCACCATAAAAAATAGAAACTGACTTTTTTTCCCATGAAAAGCTAAGACTTGCGGCTTTCTGAGCATATACAAGGTGGAACAGAGCATTTTTGCGCTTTGGAGATGTACACAGACTAATAATAAAGGTGTGAATGAAACAAAACACAACTCCAGGTCTGTTTTTGAGGACGTAACATCATAACCTTGCATAAAGTGTAATATCGAACCTTTTAAGAGTCACTGTGTTTGTGCCTACAGGCCTCGCACTTCCAGTTGATATTCGCGGCAGCTCAGATGATCGGATGGTACGATCCCAAAGTCACCAGAGTGGAACACGCCGGCTTTGGAGTGGTGCTGGGAGAGGACAAGTATGTGTCAAATCACTTAAGTCATGCCAGTTAAAGGTGCATTGTGTAACTTTTCTTTAAATAGGGCTGTGCAAAAATATTGAAATATCATTCTATCGTATTGTTTAATTTGATGATAAATTATCAATATCTTGAACTGCTGTATCGATACATCATCAGGAGTATTTTTAGGTATATTTTATTCAATTATTTTGTGTAAGAGCTTCAGTTTTGTTGACTTTTTCACTGTTTTTATGAGTAAAATGGGTGTTTTTCATGTTAACTCTGCACAAATTTAGTGGACTTAAACTCTTAGTTTCACGATCATGATTTAGCCTTTGTTTTTCACTGAACGGTATCGAATCGATTTGAAATATATCGTATCAAAGCCATGTGTCATTCGTACATTCGTTTTTCAATATAACACCAAAAATAAGAAAAAGTAAAAAACAACTATTTTCTTCATTATTTGTTTCCAAAACCAAAATGAAAAAACTGATGATAATTTGTGTTTTCAGTTTTCAATTTTGTGTTTAAATTAATAATGGAAAAAGTTTATAACGTCTGTTTACAGTTTCCGTGACTTAAACTGCGATACTGGACTTTTGTGCCACATATGGACTGAACCAGGACTAAACCAGGTATGGGACTGAGACCAGGACTGAGACCAGGACTGAGACCAGGACTGAGACCAGGACTGAGACCAGGACTAGGACCGGGAACAGGATCGGGAACAGGACCAGAAATAGTTTAGTCCTGGTTTAGTCCAGGTTCAGTCCTGGTTCAATCTGTATGCAGTGCAAAAATCCAGCATCGCAGTTTAAGTCACGTAAACGGGAAACAGCTGTTATGTGTTTTTTCATTTTGGTTTTGGAGAGACATAATGAAGAAAATAGTTGTTTTTTCGTTTTCTTATTTTTGGTTTTATATTGAAAAATCGAATGAAGAAATGATACACGGATTGTAATGAATTGTACCGAATTGAAAGTGCACTGTATTGAAAAACCTATCGTATCAGCAGCGTCTTAATGACACCCAGCTCTACCTTCAAAAAAACAAACAAAAAAACCCCCCACAGACCAAACCAGACCAAGTTACAGGTCAGATCTGTGGAGAGGCGACCCCACTCAGTCAGAAGGTCTGTTTTTCTAGATATTTTTGAGCTATAAAACCACCTGTAATTGAATAAATAAATAAAGGTAGAGCTGTTTCATTTCATACTGTGGAACATTTCAGGCATAGAAATGACATATCCATAGAAACAAGCAGGTGATGGACCCCCAGCCAAAAAGTTACATAATGCACTTTTAACATTAAACAATTGCAGAATCATTTTTTAATTCTATTTTTGTTTTTTGTTTTTTTTTCCAGGAAGAAGTTCAAGACTCGTTCTGGAGACACAGTGCGTCTGATGGACCTGCTGGAGGAGGGTCTGAAGAGGTCCATGGACAAACTCAAAGATAAAGAGAGGGACAAGGTGAACACGAGGTTTCTATGGTTACGTCATTGCTCTGCCTAGAATGTTCCACAGTGTGACATTAAACAGCTCTAACTTACATTTATTCAATTACAGGTGGTTTTATAGCTCAAAAATACCTAGAAAAACAAACATTCTGACTGTGAGCGGGGTCGCCTCTCCACAGATCTGACGTGTAACCAGTTTCCATAGTAACGTATTGGTAATTTGTTGTTTGATTGACAGATGCTGAGCCCCGAGGAGCTGGAGAAGGCGCAGAAGGCCGTGGCGTTCGGCTGCATCAAATACGCAGATCTGTCCCACAACAGAATCAACGACTACATCTTCTCCTTCGACAAGATGCTGGACGACCGAGGGAACACAGCGGCCTACCTCCTCTACGCCTTCACACGCATCAGGTCCGTCTGTGCACACTCTGTTCGTTCAGACTGCAGGGCTTAATGCTCAATTCAGATTTTTTATTTTTTTTTTGAGGTTGTTCACATTTCCAATTAAATGCGACTTGTATGTGATCTCCAGCTTAAACTTTAAATGCCCCAAAAGTGTCCCGCATGTGCACTGGAGGACGTCACCTGCAGATTTTAAAGCTGCTGTGCTGTTTTAAGGAGGAGATTGAGAAGGAGAAGGATGAGGTTTTTGGCCATTGCGTTTTGTGGCGCAGCATGGACCATAGAAAGGAATTTGTGGGTGCAGAGTTGCAGCCAAGAGTGGTGAAATTGCTCTTTGCTTTGCTGCTTGACTCACACGGAGTTCATACAGTTTTCATATGACAAGAAGAAAGTTTGTGTACATTTGTAAGTAAGAAAGTGTTTATTTATATAGCGCTTTTTCAGACATATGTCACAAAGACACTTTACAGAGCATTATTCAGCATTATTCATTCACTCTATCCCCAGTGATGGTACACTTCTATTGTAGCCACAGCTGCCCTGGGGCAGACTGACAGAAGCACAGCTGCCATGCCAATCCGTGCCATTGGTCCCTCCGACCACCACCATCACTCACACTCACACCACTTTCATATTAGGCAATGTGGGTGAAGAGTCTTGCCTAAGGACACAAAGACTTTTTTTTTTTTGCCACTGGTGCCCCCTGTGGCACCTGGTGTTCCCAGTGTCTCCCATCCAAGTACTAACCAGGCCCGGCCCTGCTGAGCTGATGAGATCTGATGGGATCAGGCTTTGACAAGCCGGTATGGCCACTTTGAGCCTGTAGGTGGGATGAATGTGACCTGGCTGTTAAGAATGAAGTCGCATGTCAAAAGATCAGATATGTATCGGTTTTAGGAGCACATATCCAAGTGACCTGGGTCACATTTTTAAAAATTGGATCTGTGTTGTTCAGACTGTCATTAAAAGATCAGATACAGGTCGCATAGGGGTGAAAAAAACAAAACGGTTCTGATATCGCATGCACGGAGAAGAAGTGAGGAGTGGGGATTCCGTGCACGGAGAAACAGTGATTCACGTGGTTTGGAGGGACATAGTCAAGGCGGGGGCCACACATTGTCAAAGTGGCCACCTTAACTATAAAGTGCTGCGGGAAACACTGATGTGTCATATTTGTGTTCAGATCCATCTCTCGTCTCGCCAACATTGATGAGGCGACTCTGAGGAAGGCGGCGGAGACCACGGAGGTGCTGCTGGACCACGAGAAGGAGTGGAAACTGGGAAAGTGCATCCTGCGCTTCCCCCGAGGTCCTACAGAAGATCACAGACGACCTGCTCCTCCACACTCTCTGCGACTACCTGTACGAGCTCGCCACCACCTTCACCGAGTTCTACGACAGCTGCTACTGCGTCGAGAAGGACAGGAAGACCGGTACCCCACCCAGTTTACACACAGACTGTATTTATAAATGGATATTTCTGTTTCATAAGGGCTAGTTGTTGTAGGGAGTATTATCTGTTACATAAGGGCAAGTTGTTGTACAGTTGTAGGGAGTATTATCTTTGACATAAGGTAATATTAATATGTATTTTCAGGTGAGGTCATAAAGGTGAACATGTGGAGGATGCTGCTTTGTGACGCCGCCGCCGTCATGGCCAAAGGCTTCGACATCCTCGGCATCACGCCCGTATCCAGGATGTGAGGTCACGACGCCGTAACCAGGAAGTGAGCGCACAGTCCCGTAAACAGGAAGTAACCAAGCTCTACCTTTCAGCCCAAATATCAACAGAAACTACCACAGACCACTTTGAACTTTCACCTTTTCGTAAAAACCCAAACTGTTAAAATTCCAACTCATGTTCAGGTCATTTTTATTAGCAAGTTTGAAAATAAACTTTAAAACTAATACTTTTTTTGTGATTATTTTAATTGTGTTCAATTACACAGATGCGGAGTTTATTTTGTTTTTGTTTTCGTGTGAGGGGGTGGCAAAATAAAATAAGCCACCAAGAAATAACTCAGATTTAAAGGTGCATTATGTAACTTTTATGGTGGAGGCCGGTCAGATTTTTTTGTAGAGAAGGGTCAGTTTATGGAACCATCCTCTAGTTTGTGTAGTCGAGAGCCCTCTGGTGGATTTCAAAGGTATTACAAATATTTAGCAGCATTTTCTGATTTGTTACTGTGCTGTTTTCTCATCACAAACACACCTGGAGTTGTGTTTTGTTTCATTCACACATGTTTAACACACAAACCCTGCATATTAAACCTGAGTTCTTAAAACAGAAAACACTCTGCTCCACCTTGTGATGATCATGTGGTAATACAGGAAGTGCTCCACTGTGTTTTTAAACTCCACACACCTTCACTAGAATCATTTGGATCATTTCAGCCCTGGAATTGCTGATCACTACTGAACTAGAGGATGAAGACAGCTGTTAACTTAGTGGAACAGCATTTTGAGCTTTGGAGATTAAGACGGTTTCACTTTGTGGAAACCATCAGACCGTCTGACCACAGCATTAGGACTCGTTCTCTCGACGATAGGCGGGTACTTTTTTTTCATTTAAACAATCGCTGCTATTTGGTCGTGATATATGTAATGCGCCTCCAACGGGGTTAACTGGTATATTAAGCTTTACCCAAATCCCATACGAAGAAAAGCAATAACTTCTTTCCACTTGATAAAATTCACCAAACATTCTCTTTGTTCCAACTTTAAATCCTCGATCTTGGGAATTACAGAGAATATATGGTTCTTTGCTAATTGGCTGGTGCCCAAATTCGCACTCCCGGGGTTTTTGCGAACTTTCTAGTGTTTTCCGATTCCTGATCTAGTCACTGGAGAGAAATGAAATTAAGCAAAGGCACTAGGTGGCACCAGCCTGACTAACAGACAGACTAATGATAAAGAATTACCAAAATGTGTGAATGACACAAAAACGCAACTCCAGGTGTGTTTTTGAGGAGGTGGTAACATTTCTTAAAGTTCACAAGAATCAATTTTTCTGTAATAGAGCATCTTGAAAGTCAAGTTAACACTCCAAACCCTAGTTCCTCCACTCAATTTCATTTCTCTCCGGCGACTAGGTCAGGAATCTGAATCCACTAGACGGTTTGCAAGAACCCCAGAAGTTGTAAACCGCGCACCGACCAATCACTGAAGAGTTGTGAAGCCATGACGTCAAACTCAAGTGTCTGTCTGGGTCCCTTTTGTGGTACAACACAACAGTAAACAAAGCGGTCGAGATGGATGTAGACGAAGACAGACATTCAGTGTTGGCAACGAGGATTTAAAGCCGGAACAAAGAGAATGTTTGGTGAAGGGTTTTATCAAGGGGAAAGACGTTATTGCCCTTCTTCCTACAGGGATTTGGAGCATTACATATGTCACAACCAAATAGCAGTGATTGGTTAAATTAAAAAAGTACCTGCCTACCGTCGAGCGAACTAATCCTAATGCTGCGAGGTCAGACGGTTTCCACGAAGTGAAAGCGGCTGATGAACCAGGCTACCAAACCCTTGAATCCAGGCGAAATCTTTTCAAAACTCCTCTCAAACTTTTCCCAGAGACTCACTACATCCCACTGCGCTCTGACTCTAATCCTCGTCTATAATCTCTCTGCAGCTTCACAGTGTCAATTTGATGATTTGTTTTTTAATTAACAGTGAATCAGAGAGTGTGTGCGTGTCTAGAGCGCGCCCGGCTGTCTTCTCATATTGTGTGCGTTGTAGTGGGAGGCCCCCTGCTGGGACGGTGAGGGGAGTTATCAGAGAAAAGTGCGCGGACACGAGGGGCTGTTGGACGTCTTCAAACCATTTACACCACGGGCAGAGAGAATTCCAAAAGCTTACTGACGTGTCTTAAAGGGCCCATGACAGGTTGGATCTACTCACTACTTTACTAAAACACACTTGAGCTCAGTCCGTGTACCGATCGTTCTTTTGAATTTTAATTAAGAACAAAAAACAATAAAATGGGAAAACAGTTTAGTTCATTTTTCAGTTTTAGTGTTAGAGAGTTGAGAGTTTACCGCTGCCTCCTCGTTATGGAGTTAAACAATCCCTTTCTAAGACACAAAAGTAAACGCGTCGTTATAAAAGAAGAGGATATTTTGCAGAGATTTTACAGCTAAATCCTTCTCGCAACAGAACTTCTGGGGCAAATAAACCAGAGGGAATAAAATATCAAAATTAAAATGGGCACCGAGACTGTTTTTTGATTGGTGACAAAATTGGAAATAGAGGCTGAAATCTGTTTTTGGTTTGACTCTTAAATGAAAATGTACCAGAAGTTGGGACTTGCAAGTTGCGACTTGGACTCGAGTCAGACTTGAGTGACTATTTTTAGGACTTAAGACTTGACTTGATCAAATGGACTAAGACTTGGGACTGGACTTGGACTTGAAGGTCAGTGACTTGGGACTTGACTCGGATTTGAGGCCTGTGACTTGAGAAGACTTGGGAACAGTGTTGGGGAGTAACAGATTACATGTACTGGAGTTATGTAATCAGAGTACAAATTATGAGTAACTGTATTCAGTTACAGTTACTGTTTCCATGAGTGGTAATTGGATTACAGTTACTTTGTTGAAGTAAATGAGATTACACGGCGATATTTTCCTGTTTTCACATTTTGGGCTAAATCTCTTTCTTTTTTCTTTTTTTTTTTAACCAAGTCTAAACTAGATCTAAACCAGGACTAAACTAAATCTAAACCAGGACTAAACTAAATCTAAACCAGGCCTAAAACAGGATTTAACAGGACTAAATCCTGCTGTGTGGACGTGTCTCCTCTTCTTCTATCAATAATATTTTTAATACGGTTAAGTAAAGTCTGGGCTTTTTATTTTCTTTTAGCAGAAAAACCTTCTTATGTTACGATATCCTCGTTTTTGTTTCTCTACAGCAAATCAAGTAATCCAAAGTATTCAGATTACATTACTCACTTTAAGTAATTTAATGGATTACTTTACAAACTACATTTTGGGGTATGTAATCTGTAATCTGTAGGGGAATACATTTTAAAAGTATCCTTCCCAACACTGCTTGGGAAGCACTTTTGACAAGATCTTAGTGTGAATCATTACAGTCAGAACAGAAAGAATTCAGATTTAAGACATTTAAAAAGGAGAAATTACATTTCAACAACTGTTATATACTCTATAAATACTGATATAAAAATATACCATGACTTTTTAAAGTACAATTTAGTTTAAAATTCATATAAATTGCAAAAATCTAAGATATATTTGGTTTAATATGAAATGTTAACTCTTTCCACTCACCTTATGTTTGGTATTATAGTTTTTAACATTCAAAATACTGTCAGTGCATTTATTGTCTCGATTAAACAAAAGGCGCATACATTCAGAAATAATCATAACAGTCTAACGATAACTTAAAAGAACACTGTAGTTGTGTGAAAGAGATACTAAAATTTCATGACTTGGACAATGACATTTTCAATTTCCATGACTTTTCCAGGATTTCCATGACTGTGGGAACCTTGTAGAAGGAACTGGCTGCTCAGACTTTCATGACATTGGCCGGATCAGTGCGTGCGTCCTTGCATCTCCCCACCAGATGGCACTCCAATGCAGCGCGTGGCACACCGGGACGCAGCTGAACAGAACAAAATATGTGATTAGCTGATAATTTCAACAGGATTGGACTGTGCTCGCACCCAAACACAAGCAACAAACAAATCAGCAGAGTTATAACAGGCTCCTCTGCCTCATTCACACTTCACTGAAATGACAGCTCATATTTGTGTCATGTTAAACAGATTTCACACTGACACGTCTCAGACAAAGAGACAAAGAGAAAAATGAACAAGCACGTGTAAAAGGAGATGGAAAAGACACAGTTGTTTTAATATAATCTGTTTCAAAAATGGGCTGGTAAAGTTCACTCTGATGAAATCCTGTTTACAAATGTCTATGTATTACTATAAATTAAAATTAAAGCTGCATTGTGTAACTTGTAAATCTTTCTATCCTCATGGAGACCAAACCAGACCAAGATACAGCTCAGATCTGCGGAGATGCCTGCTTTTCTAGGTATTTTTGAGCTTTAAAACCACCTGTAATTGAATAAATGTCATGCAGAGCTGTTTAAAGTCACACTGTGGAACATTGCAGGCAGTGCAATGACATCTCCGTATCCAGAAACAAGCAAGCGACAGGCCCTACACCAGAAAAGTTACACAATGCACCTTTAAAATTGAAATAAAAATGAAAATGTCTGTTTTTTTTATGTTGTAGGTTAATGTGTGTAGTGCCCTCTGCTGGCCAAACTGAGGAATGAACTGTTGAAATGACAAAACTGTAGCAGGGCGACTCCAGAGATGTTTTGAGGTGCAAAGTACATATTATAAAAGTATTTATTTAGTTATTTGGTCACTTACAAAATGATAAAACACTGGAAAATGCACAACTTCTGGTCAACTGTGGATTTAGTGAGTAGTCTGACCTGTCCTACGCGCTTTAAAGCTCCTACATTCTATTATAACAGACTCATTTGGAATTGTATAATGTTGTCATGTTTTTACTTTATGCACTTTTCACCACTCTCAGACTAGCATGCTAACCATGCAGTTCCTGATTCTTGTTTGCTTTATAATAGGGCTGGGCCAAAAAAAAAAAAAAAAAGAATCGCATTAATCGCATGAGTTCCTGTGATTAATCGCATGTTATACAGAAAACCAATTAATGAATTAAAATGTAGCGTATAGCTGCACTTTTATTGGAAATGTAAACAAAAGTGCCGTACATCAGTTGCGCAAACAACATTTCTTTGTACAGGAGCAGGGCGCGAGTCTGTAAAGTCCATGTTTATTCTTCTTTCTTTGGAGAATCTTACTCAAAAAAAGAACAAATTTCAGTGCAGTTTGTCAGTTCCTAA